CCACACCCACACAGACACCCACATTCAGAAAATTTCATTTGCCAAGTGAGACAAGTAGATTTTTGAAGCGTGTGATAAGTATAATGCCAACAGTCATACGAACACACTGGCTTAATTTTTAGTATGATTATGACTACAGGTGCCTTTTTAATTATTTTGATTCGCTCCATTTGCGCTCTTCTTTACAGAGAGAAACACTATTTTAGACTATCTATTTCTTTGTCAATGGTTGCCTTATTCAATCAAGACGATCAGAAGATCCGCTTTCGGTATAAATAGGGATGCGCAGTGTCGGTGTAAATACTGAAAAACTGATCACTGATCACATCGTCGGTGCAGGTCGGTGGTCAGTACACCGACACTGCATATGCCTAGTTATAAATAATCCTTCACTGCAGACTTTATTTAATCTGATATATTTTACACCATCAACTACTTATTACACTCTAGCTGATATTTTTAACATTCACTCATATATTCTATTGTTATTATTAGAAAAGAAAGAAATGTTCGATGACACGCATATCTACATTCTCATCTGACTGAACAGAAACAAAAAATATCACCAGTTTTGGATGAACTCAGTTCAACGACGATGCTGCCTGGGAAATCAGTTTTTCATTAAAAACAAAAAGTTCTTTTTATTCATTGAATGAGACTATACCTACTTAAACTGTATAATGTATATTTCTTTTCTCTTCTTTTCATATAAACAAATATTGCTGTCTCATTTGAAGAACCCTAGATATATGTATATATGTATCATGTAGACTGTTTGAGTACAATAAATATTATCAGCTCACCGTCATTAAGAACTGTATGTAGCGAAATTGTTCTGCTAATTATTTGCATCGTTATCTGTAGAATTTTCTACAATAAATCATTTTGATTGACGGAAAAAATATGTTTTAATTCTTTTTTTTTTTATATATCTTAATCTTTGTTTACCATCTGTCCTATTATTCATGAAAGTCCAGATCTTCTTTGGCCAAAGGACACATTCTAGACACTATACGAAAACACATAAAATAGAGAACTAACTGGAATAGAAGTATTACAAGAATTTCATTATTTGTATTTTTCTTTTCTGTTTATTTTTTTACAGATAATGAATATTTGGTAATCTGCGGAAATACAAGACAAATGCTATTACATGATTCATATTTTCTTTCTACAAATGAAACAATAAATAAAACATATTATGACACAATAACAATAGCTTATTCACCGTTGTTTCATTCAACGTTTACATTAATTATCAGTATATTTGGTTTTTTCTTTAATTTAATATGTTGCATTAAAATTTGGTTTATTATTTATCAATATCGTAAAAGAACATTGTATAATCGTCGACGACAACAACCAATACAAGAACCGGGACATACTTTATCAGATAAAAAATATCGCTTTCTTTTAATTTTAACAAGTAATGACATTCTTCTATGTTTTTCATCAATAATAAGTTGTTTGGACGAAAAATTTTTTTTCCAATCATTTCTTGCTCGTCATCATCTATGTTCTGCTCATATTCTAATATGGAAATTTACTCTTCATTTTATACCTTTATTAATTATTGTTATATTATGTCGTTATCATTATATTCTAACTAAAAGATTTCAGGTTAAATCAGCAGCGTTGTCATCATTTAAACAGCTATTATGTACGGATTTAAGTATTTTAATACCGTTGGTACTTGCATTAGCATGGTCAGTAGATGGCCTATGGTTATGGGGTGTTGCAAATATAAAAGATTATATTATGCAAGCATCACCAACCATTGGGAATATACGTCTAAATTTAACTAAAGAAATCACTATGTCTTCTTCAATATATGATAGTGATTTAAATATAACTTTATCAGATTTGAGTCTTTCATTATTAGAATCAGAAAAACAACTTGATCATAATCTGTATTTGAGAGAACAAATATATATATGTTATCTGCAAACAAATCATAATTTTCAATTTACTGTACGACTCGTACACTTAATACAAGCGGATTTTCTTCTTCTGTTCATCCTACACTTATCTGGTAATAAAGAAAAAAACACAAAAAAATGTTTTTGTTAAGAAAAAAACTGTCTCATTTCTTTCATTTAGCTCTTCTTCTCGAAATAGTTTTATATATTCGTCTATGTTGCTGCATGATTACTAGAAAAGTCACATCAATATATGTTCATGAACGGCAACTATGTATTTATATACTTTGCATGTTTTCAACAGTAACATTAACATCTGTACCATTTTATTTTTATCGTGTGATTGAAATCTTATATGATAATCAATTCACATTGACAAACAATGAAATTTTCAATAGTCGTACATTTGCTCAAATATTGCTATTTGGTGCATGCTTTAAACCATTATTATTTTTTATATTATTTTTTCCATCATCGAGTTTATTTAATTTAAAATGTTATTTAGTATGTTATTCACCAGCAAAATTTCAAATAATTGAACAGTCTGAAGAAATCTTACCACCATTGAATAATCAAAGTCGTATAAAAACACGGCAAAGCATGGCGTCTGTTCAACATCATCGGTATTCTTTATGTTTACAATCATCCTATTATCCAAAGTCTCACGCGAGACCACGAACTCATTCAATTCCAACGTTACCATCGGTTCGTTATCGTCAAGAATCTTTAGCAAAAGCTGAACATTTCAATAGTTGGTTGCGATTAACGCATTCAATCATAGATAGTAGTTCGAATGAAGCATCAAACATTAAATACGTGTGATGAAAGAAAGATTACAATTAAAATGTGTTTTTTTTTCGTAATTCTGTTTGAATTCACAGAACAGAAAGAAAATTTTCGTAATAAATTTGTTTTTAGTCTATCACTGTATCTGAGAGTGTAGAAGTTGTTTATGATTGCAATTCAATATTTGACTGCTGAATAATATTGAATCTAATTGAAGAATTATAGGCGCATTCTTTGTCATTAATCATTGGTTGCGTAACATGAATAGTACACTATACAATATTCTAAACGTTTGTCGTGCAGCTTAACCTTTAGTTTCAGAAGTTTTCTATGCACAACAATATAGCTACTATTCGTAAGTCAAACACGAATAGGATAGTCATGATTATCTACCAAATAAGATTAAGGATTTCTAGGCACGAATTCGTTTTTAATTACATCTTTAGTTCATTTATTATTTTATTCCTGAATATTATTTATCAGAGAATAATAAGTAATAAGTTATTACTTAGTATTTTCATAATTATTACGTCTTGCACGCATCTCTATGGCTGTCATACAATTCGGATGTGATCTTTAATATGCTCTGAGTTTAATATACGTATCTAGACATTAGCCTTTAACCATCTTCTAATGATTTGAATACGTATGATATTCTGGGAGCAAGATCGTAAATCTCAACAATCATCTGTGTACAGTTCGACTGCTTCGTACATTGATAAATATCATATCTGTTACGTTCGGTGTCTTTTTGATAATCTCTATGTTTTTCCGATGGCAACATAGCCGCCATAAGGAAGCAAAGATGATTCTATTTCATCATTATTGGATTTATAATTAATCGAAACATATTACATTTATATAATTTCAAAGTCTATATAATCAAATTTCCTCTACTAGAAGCAAATTGCTACTAGTTAAATACCTTCTAATTATGAATGGCCTCAGGTGCGATGAAGTGATTCTTGTTGGAAATGCTTCTGTGAAATATGAACACCTGTTGATTCTGAAAAGTGAATGTTTTCTTTCTAGCCCCTGTTACTCCTAGAGCCTCTCTGAGATCAGCATGTTTTCATACATCTTGCTACTCACGGACTAATTTTTAACAGAAGCACCACAACAAAAACAGAGAAAGAATGAATATAACACAGAAACTGTCATATTAAATAATAATATGACACATATAATTACATTCATTAATTAATGAATTAAAATCTAGATCTATTGATATTTTATATCAGCTCAAAAGTAAATATTAGACCAACAAGATTGGAAAATCTTGGCTAAATGTATATTTATTTTAATTGAAAACTATTATTACTGACGAAAACAGACGAATACAAGAGTAAATAAACAAAATTTTATTGTAGAAATAAATATGTTGAAATGCTCTCATCTTTTCACAGCAAATCATGCGTGAATTCCCGATAATGAACACCTCTATTTAGTGAATATTTTTAAACTGTCCTGATGGGGTCCCCATTAGAGAAACTTTATTGTACTTTGCTTTTTTGTTTCTTTATCAAACAATTGCATCTTCTGTTTTGACTTATCAACATAAAATGCTACGAAGCGAAAGTATTATGCAAACGTATGTGTGCTTTTGTCTTATCTCAAAATATATTTATCAACTCTCCTACTATAATACTCTTTCGACTTTCGACTATTTTGTGTGACATAACTAGACAAACTGATAAGTGATATTTTCGAACTACAAGTAAGTACGAGTTATATAATTTGACTTTCCATAATATAAAAGGTTCCTGTACTGTTTGATTCAAAATACTTACTACGCAAAAGTTAGTTAGATTATAAATTGAGACAAAAGGAAAAGTAGTGATTAATACAAGTTGATTTCCAAAGTTTATTCGACGACTTTATATGTTTATATATTTAATATTGAAATTTGTAGAATAATTTAATATAAAAATCAAAGATAGTAATGGCTACAAATGGTAATTCAACATTACAAAAACTAGTACCCAATGATGCCAGTACATTTGAGAATCCTCCATCGTCAACGATTTCTTTTCATTCAATTAATTATACAATAAGTACACAAAAGAGTTGTTCCTCATTACCTTTCATGAAAATGCAGCATAAACAAATTCTTTATGATATCAATGGAGTCTTTAAACCAGGCATGAATGCTATACTTGGGCCAACTGGTAGTGGAAAATCATCTCTATTAGATATATTAGCTGATCGAAAGGACCGAAATGGTCTTGAAGGAGAAGTATTATTAGATGGTCAATCTCAAATGTCGGAATTTAAATATTATGTTGGTTATGTTGTACAAGATGATATCCTCAGTGGAACATTGACTGTTAGAGAAAATTTAAGATTTTCAGCTAATCTTCGATTGTCAAAAACAATTTCACGAGAAACAAAAGCAACTATTGTTGAGCAAGTTATTGAACAATTGGGTTTAGAAGGATGTGCTGATTCAAGAGTAGGCACAGAATTTGTACGTGGAATATCTGGTGGAGAACGAAAGCGGACAAACATTGGTATGGAGCTGGTTTTATCACCATCGGTACTCTTTTTAGATGAGCCAACCACAGGTAATTTTAATATAATGTCTGATAAATGATTGTTGTTCGAAAATATGAATGACTCATTAAAGGTTTGAATCCTACCGCTTTCGAGGTGACATGTTAAATCAATTTTGGTTTTCTCCGTGTCTCCTTTGCACCTCGCCCTTTTATATAATCCCAGTTAGATATTGTTTCTTTATTTGAATTTAATCTCAATGTAATACGACTGAAATCACAAAAGATAGAGCTACTAGAATTAAGGCCAACGAGATTAAGTCGACAATATCTATACTAACTTTCATTTTCAATCGATTTTAAAATGAGGATTTCAGTGCCAATCCTTTACATGTATATACTTTATATTACATTTGTTAGACAACAAGTTCTAAAAACATGGTGCTGTCATTTCATACAAAAGGCTGAATATTTCACTTTGCAATCCATTCTTTCTGTTGTCAGAAAATATTTGAAAATTTGCTTAAAAATTTTCCACTGTTCATAAACAGAATTACAAACTAATAACGCAGCTGATCATACTTTGACGTACGATACGCCATTAGTTTTTGTATCGCTTGTCTGACAAAAATAAATATGTGATATAGAGACAGATGCTATTTTATGCATATAAACAACAAAATTAAAAGAATGCTATGATAATCGTGATAAATTAATAAGACATAGAGAGACACTAATATACTAGAAAAGAAATACTTCATTATAATAATGAATTTCTATTCTATTCTCTTTATAATTGAACAGTTTCAATTAAATAAAAGCCGTTGAAATAAATAAAATGAAGATTTTCTTTTACCGAATAAATAGGTCTCGATTCATCAACAGCGCATGCTGTATTTAAATCTCTTCATCACTTATCACGACGAGGGCGTATGTAATTCTAAAGAAAAACTAATAATATACATTATTTTAATCTTCGTTTTAGGCACAATTATCTTTTCAATTCATCAGCCACGTTATTCAATTTTTAAACTATTTGATACTATATTTTTGGTAGCAGCTGGTCGTTGTGTTTATCATGGCCTTGCAAATTCAGTACTTCCATATTTTTCATCGATCGGTTATGAATGCGAACAACATGATAATCCAGCTGATTTTCTTCTCGATATAACTCAAGCTGATACTTCCAAAAACAAGGTCAATAATCATGAGCTAAATAAGAAAAATGAAGAACATGCTCGTCAGTTACATGAATTATATATAGCATCGAATGTGTATACATCAATGCAACAAGAAATTAAAGCTGCAAGAAATCGAATAGTAACGGCAGCAACATCAGCAGCGAGTTACCATCAGTCATCTACAAAGTCACGTTTCTCAGAAATTCTATATGTTTCTCAACGTACATTACGTAATGTGTATCGGAATCCAGCTCTAATTTCAATGCAAACATTTGTTCCAGCATTTTTAGCTGTGGTAATTGGCCTAATTTATCTAAAAGTTGATAACTCCGAAAGTGTCGGAGTACCAAATCGTATGGGTGCAATATTTTTCATTGTAACAAATCAAGTTATGGCAAATCTATCAGCTATTGAATTATTTATTAAAGAACGTGCTCTATTTATACATGAAAATGCAAGCGGTTATTACCATGTTTCAACATATTTTATAGCGAAATTAATATGTGATTTAATACCGTTACGTATTATTCCATCAATAATATTTTCAACTATTGTTTATTTTATGATTGGTTTTCAAGCCAGTGTCGCCAAATTTTTTATTTTCTATCTAGCTATCGTTTTAACGACAACATGTGGAGCTGCCGTTTGCTTTTTATTTTCGGCTACCGTAGAAGTATTTGGTGTCGCAAATTTGTTAGCTGCAATGAGTTTCGTATTGATGATGGTTTTTGGAGGATTCTTAGTTGTTGTATCATCAGTTGGAAACTATTTATCGTGGATTAAATGGGTCAGTTTATTTCGCTATGCAATCAATATTATTACTATCAATGAATTCGAGGGCCTGAAAATTTGTCCGCGAAATAATCCAAAAAATTGTACAATTAGTGGTACATATGTTATAAATAATGATGCACACATTGAATATAAAAACGATTGGGATTTATGGTACAACTTTGTTGCATTAGCATGTATGATAGTAATATATTTTATGTTGACATATATACAATTACTTCGTATGAAGAAAACAAAATAATGTGAATTCATATTAGCGTGGTGATCTATTTAAGAAAGAAATGCTTGAAAGATAAGAATGAACTACAATCATTATGTTGTTGTTATTTTCTATGTATATTTTTCTACTAAAAGTGTATTTGATTTGATTAATCATGTCGTTCAAGTTCGTGTTTCTTCTGTTCATATACATTTGGTTTCTTTTATAATGAACGAAATTTTAATAAAAACGTTTTGACAATTGTTTATTTAGCTGTTTTAAGAATTATAATTATTCCTTAGTGAATCTATGCAATAGTCAATATGTTTTGTTGATACTAAGCCAGATGATGTTATTTTTATGAATTAAAATGAGAGGAATCATTGAATAAAAGAAACAATGGGGTCACGAAGTTTTTCACAGTAATGAACGACCACTTCGATGCGTAGGCTCTTTGTAGCAGAGAGAAGAAAAACTAAATTTTTCTTATACATATGAATACTAAGAAACACAACCAGTATGCTTACATAAAAAAATTAATGAAAGATAATATATGTTATAAGGATATGTAACACATCATTATCAATCAGGTGCCGAAGAAAAAATACACGGGTCAGTACACATATTGTTGGCTGCTGTGCGCACACAAACGAAGTGTCGAGGGAAATTTTGGGAAAAAGACCTGCATTGATACGTTTACTAAGAATTCTACTGACTAATCTCAGAATTTTTCATTTTCTAGGTCATGGTCTGTCATAAAAATAAGAGCGTCGTTTGATACGCACTACAAGAAATTTGTGTACGATTAAATCAATCCTGTGGTTCACACCTAAATGCTTGATGATTTCATCCGATGTGTTGTTCTATCACATATAAAATCTAATGATCTCAATAAAAAATTCTTATCAGCATTTTTGTTAGTACTGTTAATTACAGAAATCTTCGGTTAAATCTGGTTTTATTGTTGTGAAAATATGTCAAGTAGGTAATTATTTTGATGAATGAGTTTTCTTCTGTAATGAAGGTCGTGCTACAACAGCTGTTGCAATAGTGAATGGTCAATTATTAGTGCTTGATCTAACTGACTATTATCGCTAAAGATTTATTAAAACAAACGATTATAAACTGATTGTTAAAGACGTACAGAATAGGCATGTGTAATTTATCTATATTCTTTTGCTTTTCTTTTTTCGATTTAATATAGAAGAAAAAAACATAAAAACAATCAAGTTGATGCCACTGATTGTACTTAATAGAATCGAATGATGAATGAAACATCGTTTATAGACGAAAAATGGTTTAATGAAACTCAATCTGGTAGTGTAGGTGCAGCTTTATTCATTATATGTTACATTGGTTTTTACGGATTCATTCTAATATCATTTTTCGTTCAACAATTAAAAGAAACTCAAAAACAACGTGCTGATTTACCATCATATGTCTTAAAAACACTTTGGGATATACCAAGTAAAAATAAACTTTATGGTTTGTAATTGTTGAAATGAATTTATTTGCTTGATTTCTGGCTGATTTCTTTACTTTTCAAGAGGAATTAGCTGATGTCGAGCGTTTAAAACGAATATTTCATGGTTATTTTTTGGATCATGAATCACATACGAAAACAACAAACGAAGAACTTCAAACTATGGTTGACAAACGTGCATGTGAATGTGCTTCAAAATATCGAGAAAAATTACGACGTCTTCATTTATCACATGTAGACTATTATACAGATACAATTCCAAGTTTGTCTCGTCTTAGTAATGATGTTCAAGAACAAGCTTTGCAATCAATGACACCAACGCATACAATTAGTACGAAAACAAGTATTGATTCTTCTAAACAAGACGATTCTGACACTCATGTTTTCTCTATATCCGTAGTTTGAGAGGTGATCTTGTTTCTTTTTTCAAATTAAATCTAAACATTTCGATTTTGCATACGCCAATTTTCTTCCATTTTACGTTCACGATTTCCCCATCCAAAGCTAGATGCATTAGAACGGATATTTGCTGATGAATTGACCATCCCCGAGTTGATTGTATTGTGACTTGACGTTGCAAGAGATGGTTGTTCCAGTGGCATGGTTTTCAACAATGATGGAGTTAGCGCAGCTAACATAGCCGAGATTTTTTGTGAAGAGACATTCTTATAAAAGACAAAATATAGAAAAATCTTATATTATTATCGTCAAAACGGTACGTGAGCTGGCTCGAATGATAATATTGTATGACCACAAGAATTTTTCCTAGAGAATGCACAGCTATTTCGAAAACTTGTCAAAATACTGCCAGTCTATGTTAATTTTACTGTGCTCGAGCAATGGTTTTCTAGCAAATTGGATGAAAATAATATGTATAGCTAAATCAGGAAATGCTGCAATAAGAATAAGCACTAAAAAGTAACTTATCTCAGTGTTTATTATTTTTTTTAAATATTTTTGAATTATTCAGAAAATCAATTTCTTGATATGAAAATAACGAGACTATAATTAGAATATTGAATTCAGATTTTTGATCATGACAACTTTAGTTCGACATGAATGAAACATCTTAGTTCGAATGAGTATTATAATCAGTATTGAATATTTATACTTAAGAATGTAAAATTATTTTTCGCCAGATTTCGACCTTTGGATTCTCCGAAATGATATGTGCGAATCATGCGACCTACGTCTTACTCAAATTTCAATATCTACAAAACTTCTTCTATAAATTGCGTATAAGTATAACATTAAATAAGCAGCACCTTACTTCAAAATCGTGACATACTATGTTTAGTTTTTTCTCCGTTTGGAAAACATATCGAAACAAAGATAGTCACGATTTCACTAACAATCTTATTGATTTCAGAAGAAGAAAAAAATTTTTTCAAACGAAATGTACAACATACTAATGAAGGCATCAAAAGTGGATGGATTGATTGTTGTTGTCCGATTAGTGCCGATGTTAAATTATTTTTTTCAGCTGTATTTTCCTTTACAATATTTTGATTTTGAATCTGAACAATTTTGAATCGTTGATTTCTATTTTTTCTAAAGAAAATCTTACCAAATTTCGTTGCAAATTAGTCAACAATAAAATTTTAGCTGCTAATTCTGGATTAAGTGATTGCAAGCTCATAATTTTCAAAAGAATTCAATATTAATAAATAAATAAATAAATATAATGTATTTGAATATTTAAACACACAGAGATTCAATGTAATATATTAACGGAATAAAGAAATACCGAACAACAACAACAACAACAACAAGACAGTTGTTGAAATATTTATTTTTTTAACGTAGAAGCACTATCGAAATAATATATCTGCGCCTATTTTTCGTTTACTTAACGACATATATATATATATATATATATAAACTATTTAATTTAAATATATTTTGAAATAGGTTCAGATAACAATGGAGCGAGGAAGAAAACAGTAAACAACATGGAAGTAACGAACACATAAAACTAACTTGACTAAAAGGAAATATTCTCTTTTGAATTGTTTACAATTCGTCTTTGTTTGATTCATCACCAGTTGGTGGAACATCACCACCGGGCGGTGGTTGTTGTCCTTGATAAAGTTTCGTCATGATTGGTGTGACAACATCTTCAATTTCTTTCTTTTGTGCTTTAAAGTCATCAATTTCAGCGGATGCTTGATTTTCATCAAGCCATTTGATTTTCTCTTCAATTTCTTTTTCAATTGTTGATTTGTCATCTGCTGATAATTTACCACCGAGCTTTTCCTTGTCAGCTACTTGTGTTTTTAATGTATAAACGTACGATTCAAGTTCATTTTTAGCATCAACACGATCTTTCACTTTTTTATCTTCGTCAGCAAATCGTTCCGAATCTTTGATCATACGTTCGATATCTTCTGGTGATAAACGATTTGTATTAGAACTAATAACAATATTATTTTTATTTCCTGTTCCTTTATCTTCAGCAGTAACCTGTAACGAATGATTATTATAGTAATTAGTTTCTATCAAAAGTTAATTCACTTACTTTAAGGATACCATTAACATCGATTTCAAAAGTAACTTCAATTTGTGGTACACCGCGTGGTGCTGGTGGAATACCAGTAAGATCAAATTTACCTAAAACATGATTATCTTTTGTCATTGGACGTTCACCTTCAAAGACTTGAATTGTTACAACTGGTTGATTGTCAGCAGCTGTTGAAAATACCTGACTTTTCTTTGTTGGAATAACTGTATTACGTGGAATAATCTTTGTCATTACTCCACCAACAGTTTCAATTCCCATTGTCAGCGGATTGACATCTAATAAGACGATATCACCAGTACTTTCTTCACCAGATAAAACGCCAGCTTGAACAGCAGCACCATAAGCTGAAGAAAAAACAAATGTGATTAATTCGATGGTGAAAAACAACTTCAATAGTTTAACTTACCAACAGCTTCATCAGGATTAATACCACGTGATGGTTCCTTGCCATCGAAATATTCTTTAACTAATTGTTGTACTTTAGGTATACGTGTTGAACCACCAACAAGAACAACCTCAGCAATATCAGTTTTTTTCAAATCAGCATCTTCTAAAACTTTTTGCACTGGTTTCATTGTTGAACGAAACAAATCCATATTTAATTCTTCGAATTTAGCACGTGTCAAAGTTTCACTAAAATCTTCATTATCAAAGAATGATTCGATTTCAATTTTAGTTTGATGTTGTGATGATAATGTACGTTTAGCTTTTTCAACTTCACGTCGTAATTTTTGTACAGCACGATTATCTTTTCGTGCATCTTTACCAGTTTTCTTCTTAAATAATTTAATAAAATGTTCCATAACACGTTGATCGAAATCTTCACCACCTAAATGTGTATCACCATTTGTTGCAACAACTTCAAAAACACCATTATCAATAGTTAAAAGTGATACATCAAATGTACCACCACCCAAATCAAAAACTAAAATATTTTTCTCTCCTTCTTTCTTATCAAGACCATAAGCAATAGCAGCAGCCGTTGGCTCATTGATAATACGCATTACAACTAAACCTGAGATTGCTCCAGCATCTTTAGTAGCTTGACGTTGAGCATCATTAAAATAAGCCGGTACAGTAACAACAGCATGTGTAACTTTATGACCAAGATAGGCTTCCTATACATATATATATATATATATATATATATAATAACCAATCTATCAACATGAAAATAAAACAAAAACGAACTTACAGCTATTTCACGCATTTTACCCAATATCATAGCAGAGATTTCTTCTGGTTCAAAGAATTTTTGTTCAGATCCAACATTGATAGAAATTGTTGGTTTTGATCGACGATCGACAACAGTAAATGGAAAATGTTTTATATCTGCTTGAACAGCTGGATCTTTGAATTCACGACCAATAAGACGTTTAACATCAAATATTGTATTTTCAGGATTTGATGTTAATTGATTTTTAGCTGCATCACCAATTAAACGTTCACCTTCAGTAGTAAATGCAACATACGATGGTGTAATACGATTGCCTTGATCGTTAGCAATAATTTCTACGCGACCATTTTTAAATATTCCAACACATGAATATGTTGTCTATAATAAAATTTAACAAATAATTTCTTCTCTTACTCAGAAGAAAACTTACACCAAGATCAATACCAATTACTGTGCCAACTTCTTCTTTTTTTCGTCCACTAGGCTCTTCTTTTGCAAAAGCGATTGTCGCCAACACGATGACAACTAGTGATATAGACTTGAGCATAGTTAGTATTATAAAACCAGAAGAGACTAAAATTTATCTGAAACAATGATATCGACTAATAGACTGTAATGGCTTGTCTGATTTATAGATTTAATGGAAAAGCCTGTTGCAAAACTACGTGTCGATCGGCAACTATAACCACATTTATTATTCGCATGTTCCATGTGAAAATATGCAATGGGTACCACCGAATGCCACGTAAAGAAGAGCGATTCGTCTATCTAGTATACCGATAGAGCAGGAAAAAATACAACGCGCTAAGCAAATCAATATAAAATGCGCTACATATGCTGCCCTCTGAAAATTTTGAAGAGGTCGCACTTTTAACCAATGCCAATGCCAATCAATAGAGAAAGCTCTTCTGAATACATAGAAAAATTACGAAAACAAAAATGTAAAAAATCTTTGCTTGTTTTGACTAGAGGTGAGTTTGATTGCAAACCTTTTTTCTTGAAATTAGTTATTAATCGTTAAAAAAATGAGAAGAAATAAGGAAATCAACGATCAATAGTTTGACTACGAAAAGTACAACTCGAAAGCATTTATATTTATTGTATAGTCTGTAAACATATCCGATAATCAGCGGCGTAACCAAGATTTTTAGATCAATGGCTGTCCGCTTTTTTTCTGGCAAAAAAGCGATGGGCAAAATTTCTTTGGTCCAACAAAATAATGATAACGGAAGAACCACTAAAAACTTAAACGAGGTTTTTTTAATCAGCTATGAGTCAAATTCAGATCCTGTATACCTGAGCCAGATCAGATATGTCCATCGCAGTTGAGAATCTATGCCTATGCCGTTACTGCGTCGCACGTCTGGAAGAGAAGTAGCTTCCCTGCTGCTGTGGCGAGGGTTTTCAAAAACTCTTTCGAGATTCCAATTACCATCAGCGGAATAAATATGTATTGTTAGCATGAATCAATGAGTTCAGCTAGTCCAAGAGTTTTACACTGATCGAAATCTGAGGCTTGTGAAAATCCAGCAATTTTTGAAAAAATCACATGCCACACCACCCCGCCATCATGGTTATCTCGGGTTCAGATATGTTTTAGTCTATTTTTAATTTCTCTGTTAGCAACAGTTATATTTCAATATTTCAAATTCAAACACCAAAATCAAGACGACTAGAATGAATTTGTGTATATAGATTTTGTACGGTCTTGATTCATCACAACTTGAATAAAGAAACAGAATCTGCACGATTTAGACAGATAAAAAAAATACAGTTACCATCTAACTTAAAAATACATGAATAATTTTGAAGAAGTAAAATTACAATAGGCAAGTCTCCAAACGAAATGGGTAAATGTCCATTGTTTTAATTTCTACCCACTTTTAAATAAGCTGTTCTCCATTTGAAAATGAACTATTTAGTAATCTCCTATAATTCTGAAAATGTAGCAAAATACTATAATATATATTCAAAATATGTTTATTCTTTCTCATATTATATGATAATTCTTATATTTAGATCAAATGAATATATATATATATATATATATAGTTATCCAGGAGAATCATACACTAGTCGATGATCTTGATTTCGATCTGTCCAGATTATTGTTTTTCTTGAATATACCAGACAAGATTCTTTGTAATCATAATATTCAGGCAAGATTCTTGCCTGTTATTCAAGAAAAACACAATCTTGTCTGATTTATCAGATAAATAAGAATTAGGCAAGAATGGTAAGATATTCAAGATTTTTTGAAATTCAGACAAGTATCTTGTTTCTTTCCTCTCGCAAAGAATCTTGCCTGAAGTTCAAGATGAGATGAATCTAGTCTAATTCATTAAAAAAATATGAATCTGGAATGAATTACAAGACATTTCAAGTTTCTTGAAATTCAGACAAGAATCTTTTTTCTTTTCCTTTCAACGATTCTTATCATATCTTAAAGAAAAATACCACGTGATGTTTTGTGTATATATACTTATAAATAAACAGAAGTTTGAACATTATATCTTTTTTTCCAGATGGCGCGGACGAACTATATAACAGATGTCTTTTTTAAATAGACAGTTTGGTTCAATTGTTTTTCGTTTATTTATTTTTTATTTTTCTTAATTTTTTTGTACGCGATATGAACGTATTGTATATTTCCTTGCACATTCTATATACTTTTTTGTATTGTTTTAATTCGAACTTAAAATATAATAGGACCGAAAGGAGGCAACCGTGTGGATACCTAAATGAAATTCATTTGTATTACAAGGATTTTGTCAAAATGGTAAGAATTGTAAAAAAAACAAGAATCTTGCCAGAAAGACAAGATCTGTTTTTTCAGGCAAGAATCTTGTAGAGAAAAAATGACAAAAGAATCTTGCCTGATATTCAAGAAAAACAAGAATCTGGACAGATCGAAGTCAAGATTGTCAGCTAGCATACCGACATTCGGATCCCTAGTGTTGTGATCTAATTATATCTTACTGTCGGGTTCGACGGAATTCATCTCAGAGCTCCAAATCACGTCTGTTATTGGTTCCAGAGACAAAGTAGTGTACAAATAATAAAATACTAAATTTTCCATCGAATCAGTTAGTAGTTCCTTAACCCGGAATCCTATCAAATTTCGTTGGCTCGTTGAATTTCGTAAGATCCGATCGCATTCTATATTAGATTCATTCATTTAGATCAGTTGTTCTGAAAAACAAGAAATTTGTTTTAATCAAATTAATAAAATTCCAAAATTTATTTCTACTGAGCGAGCATTTTTTAATCCTCAAACAAATTCAATAGAACAAAAAAGCTTATATAAATGCTAGTGATGGTTTAAGTCATTATAATGTATTACTAAAATATCCAAGTGAAAATTTAATATTATCATTATTATTTGTTCGTAAAATAGCTCTTCCTATTGGCATTTTATTGAAGCAATTGAAAACTTTTTCGGTAGTGAAGTTTTATTAAACACATCGACTTAATTGTTTTTTAACATGCGCATACGATTTCGATCAAATTGAATGAAGAAAAGAAAAAGTATCACACAGTAAAATATATGTGTATTTGCTGTATCCAGCTTCTGAAGCATATTTTTTGTTAGATAATTCAAACAATTTCTTAATTCAAGCTAAAATAATTCGTCGTAGTTTAATTGGAGATAATATGTTCGATTACGACAAAGAAAAATCCAGCACAACTGATCATGCGATTCCAGAATTAGATAAACCAGCACCACATATGCAACTAAATGAATGTTTTAATACAAAATCAAAATCATCATCTGAGTCATTTATTGCTACAATTAATTCAAAATTCTTGTCGGTTGGTTCTATACTGATGAATTAGTAACTGAGGATAATGATTTAAAACCATATAGATATTTGCAAGATTTTGAAAATTTAAAAATTGATATATTAAACTATTCTCATAATGTAAATTAATAATCAATTTTCAATTGGTGTTATGGATGATGAAAATCAACTGGAGCTTAATGCTTGATTCAACTGGTAAATTTATCGTCATTCACATTGAAGTTGTCTACACACTTGATGGAAAGAAATGCTACATTTTTTCATAAAGAAGCATTTAATTTATATATATACTAGTTAATTCAAAAGTATTTCGTGAATTCATTCATCAAGCAACTATATTGCCGATTCAGGGTCTTCATTAATCAGAAATTTGATGAAGCTATTTGTTGAACGTGCAGATATGCTGAAAATGATCAGTCTGTTTTTAACTATAGTCTTAGTCATTATATAAGTACTGTAGAAAGAACTTTCGGGTATTTGAAAAATAGTTTGAGATCAATTCGTATAAGAAGATGAAATACAATATTGAAAATATTAAGACAAACATAAAAGCTGCATGTATATTACATAACATGACGGGAACATGAAGCCCTAGTGACTATTTTTACAAAATACTACTTAAATTCATATTATGTGTACTTATTTTTTTTTCAAATGGAGCAGCGATACGTAACTTGAAACTGTACAGATATTTTTTAATTTTAAGCACTATATTCGAATGAAATTTGAAATGCATCTGTTTTAACTATTTGAATGCTAATAATTTTAGTTAACATATACAATATATTATCATTATTATTATACATATAGTTTTTTTTATATTTTTCTATTAAAAATATATTAATTAAAGTAATAAACGTATTTTAACATTATGTTTTTAAAATTTATTTTTTTCTGATATCACTTAAATGCAGTGGTTAACGATTAATTTCATCTTGAATATCATAGTATTAAAGAAAATTCTTTACCGAAAAGTTTTGTACTAAACAAAGATTTCATTTTTTCTTATCTAGTTCACTAGTGATTATATCTCTTCTGCTTAGAGATAAGAAGAAAAGCTTGCCTTTGCTTAAATGTGTTGTATCTATATGTGCATATGGCCCTATCTAACTCAGATTGGACAGAACAATCAGTAAACGACCTTAACCGTTACTTATGTTAGTCGTACTTTTAGATTTCTGTCAAACAACTAGAAGACACTTTTTTCAAGTATAACACTGTTTTTTCTTTATTTCCGTAGAGAACACACCAAAACATTCTGTTTTTTCTTTATTTCCGTAGAGAACACACCAAAACATTCTGTTTTTTCACGAAATCAACTTCAATAAACAATATGAATATCTGCTTGGAATAAGATTTTTGCCCGATTTGAAATGTAATTTTAAGAGTTTTCCTTAATTTTCATTGATTTTAAAATTTTTTTCCTATCGATTCGTTAGACACAAAATCATACAAAAAATTCCAAAATGTGCAATTTTATTTAGATATTCATTGGAACCTGTTCTAAGCTCTTAGATCTTTGCTTTTTCATGAGCTCGAAAGTGACATTTAATTGGCACCCTTCCAGGAGAATGATTGCGATAGTAGAATCGGTAGGATTCCATCGGATTCGTGACGGAATCTGATCGGATATAGTATGGATTTCATTAAATCGACGAAATCCTATTGTGATCCTGGTTTGGGGCCTACAATCGGAGCTCTAGTGTTGAAATCCGATAGGTTCCATTGCCAGAATTTAACGGAATCCAACATAAGCATTCGACCCATGTATTCTGTTGGTATCATATGCTTATTCATTGATGATTAAGAAAATGTTTTTTTTCCGTCGGATCCGTTAGTAGGTCCTAGACCCGGAATCCGATCAACTTTTGTCGGCTTGTCGGATTCCATGAGATTCGATAGGATTCACTGTCGAATACATTCACCTGGGCTGACATTATCGGTTTCTTTCATACTTTTTCGACATAAATTTATGTATTTTTTAATTTTTTTAGATTTTTCAATCTCAGAGAATCTATTAAAAATTCTTGTTTAGTTGTCACTCTTATGTATATTCTGTTTATGTTTTCTATATAAATTACATGATCATGAACAATAGGCGCACATATGAATAAAAAACTGTTTCCTTTTTTTGGTACTGCTCTTGGCTTCTTGTTATTTTATTGAAACCACTTCCTTGAAACCGAAACAAAAAGAGCTTGAATACTTCAGGATCATATCTATAAACTTCTGCAGTATAAAGCAATGGTACATTTACAACCGTGTTAAAACGTACAAACACGATGGCGTTACATGTCGTGTTTTCATCGTAAAAGATCGTTATATTACACCGTGTGACCATCGTTTACCGCCGTAAACAACGCCTTAACTCCATTCATTTTGATGAACCTTGGCAAAAGTCTCGTGGGTAAAGGGTAAGTCTCGATAATGCCGCTTTTCGGTGCAAAATATTTTCAAGAAATAACTATATGACAGAGCTACCAGGTCCATATGTGCTACAAATATCACAGGGTCATTTTGTTTGAAACTGCTTCCGAGTTTCCCACCCCTGCATTTCCTAGGGGGATTCAGAAAAAAGTTTTTTTAAATTTAGTTAATTAAGCTTATTACAAATAGCAAGTCATCCATGTTGATTACATATATTAACATCGTAATTCTTTAGAATGTTGCTGGCTGGAATTTCGAGTTTAACATATACTCTGATTTTAGGGTCGAAACCTGGTTTTCGGGCACCCTATCGCGTGGTATAACCAGTAAAAAATCTGAAACAATACCTGGTATATGTAATTTGTAGAGCTTCATGTTTTTTCTTCAACGAAAAATTAACCTGTTGTATCCTGGGATCAGCCAAAAAAGAAACTTCATCAAAATGCCGTTTCTATTGTTTAGCTATTTGCCAATTCGAGTTTTACTTTCATTTTAAAAACTTAGAAGTTGATACACACTATTGAAATAACTTCTTGATGAAGTTTCTTTTTTGACTGATCCCTGAGTACCCAGGTCGAACATACGCGGTCGTATACGACGGTAAATCGCCGTATTTGGCCGTATTACATGGCTCCGTATTACGATCGTAAATCTCCGTGCCGTATACGGCGAAATACGGCGCTTTACGGTCGTTTTTGATCGTTTTTTCACCGTATTNGGGTGGGAAACTCGGAAGCAGTTTCAAACAAAATGACCCTGTGATATTTGTAGCACATATGGACCTGGTAGCTCTGTCATATAGTTATTTCTTGAAAATATTTTGCACCGAAAAGTGGCCTTATCGAAACTTGTCCTTTCATCATTCAAGGAAAGTTTCTTAACTTTTCTTGTCGTTTCAAATTAAGATGATCATGGTTTTACTTAAACATTAAATGAATAACATGCGAGTCAAAATGAGGATGAACTCTTTGCAAACAAAAATTCATTCTCGATTTATCGAAATTTATTGTACAATACAAAATCAACTGAATAAAAAGTTCTTTTAATTTTTTCGATTTCGTGCGTTTAGCTCTTCAGACATAAGATATGACTAAATTTAGCTTATATTTTATTATCATGCATGATTAATTAGATTAGATAATATCATATTAAACAAGTAATGTTCTATACAACTGAAATATCATATATGTTGTAATTTTAGAAAGCTTGCAAGAATAGGTCATAAAAACAATCAATGCATCTGCTGAAACATTAAATACTTCCATATGAATATATCATTTTCTTTTCTTTCTTTTTATCATGTATGCCAATCAAAGAATCCCTAGTATGTATATTCTTATCATTGCCAATGTGCCGTTCTCTTATGATATAAATTTAAATATTCTTGCTAAATATACATTTCTAGGTATATACTTAGACGGAAAAAATTATAATGGCACCAATTTGAAAAGCTATTAAAGTCATATTTTATAATAGATGTGAAATTTCTATTCATTGCGACTAGAGAGTTCAAAGTGAAACAAAAAAGAAATCGAAATGTCCTTGTGACCTATATTACCACTTTATGACAACATATTAAAATATTTTTCTTCTGAACCGTTCTTTTTCTGGTTGAATATTTTTTTTGTGAAATAATTTCATGTCGTCATTAAATTGTCAGCATCACACCTACGAGTATAATGCTGCTAAACATATTTTTTAGCAAGCAAACACTACGACGACACAACGGGAACATTCGCGTATTGGAGACAGAACGACAAAAAAGCTCATTTCTATTGAAAGTCTCATAATGATTATAATTCATTTCTCTAATGGATAACGCATCTATTGATATATTCCATGTATTACAACTATTCAATTCAGAACATTGTGTCAATCAAACGGACGAGGGAGGAACTTAGAAAGATCTCGAAACAGGTACTTTTGTTATGAATGAATTTTAATAAAGTGACGATTTTTTCTCTTAAATCTAATTAGGGTATTTGTAATTGCTTATGATTTTTTCAAAATTACTGGTCGTAAGCCGGAATAACAGGCACACGGTACCAAATAAGAAAAGTTGATGTATCTAAAAAATAACCAAAAACTAAAAATGAATGTCAAACTCAATGATAGAAATGCCAGATGATGATTATTTATTTAATATTCATCACTAATTATTTATGATTAGGGACAAACAGTATAATTTAGATTCGTTTTAAGCCTCTTGTGTCATCGTAACTTAGTTTTGCATTTTTTATTGTACATCTGTCTCGCCAGTATCATCTATGCTGATAGCTGAATCTTGTTGACATATTTTCTCTTTTTAATATAGAATAACAAGAAGAGAGTTGTATAGACCATACAACATGAAATACTTGTCATATTTTGCACGAACTACCACATACAATCATGAGTCAAAAAAACGCTTAAAAAATGATTCGAATTCTTTTACTTTGAATCGGTTAATACTGATGCTAGTTTAATGTTTTATACTTATGTTTTTATCTACGGTCTTTCAACTGTTTACTAACACAATAAAATTTTACCATCAGACCTAGCTACAACTGTCATTCTGAAAAATTAATATTATTAGTTCAATATCAATAGATGATATATAAACTTACATTAAGAGATTTGCAAGCTACAAAGAGCAAACAATTTTCTATAAGTACGGAAATTAAAATTAGATTAAACCAGTTTTAGTGAATGCTTAAATCTTCTTGGACGATGATTATATTGCTTTATTTTCATATTAAATTTATTATAGCTCCCGAATAGAACCTAAATACGTCGTATTTTCTTGGATGTCAATATTTGTTCTCTCATCGATGTTGTTATTGTATAAGTACGAAAGCCTTGTTCCCCTGACATATCTTATATAAAACACGACCTTTTCTGTTTCTAACAAAAAAAAATCTAATTGAAAATATATAGAATTTTTGTTTCTTTTTTTGATAGTTTCCTATAGGAACGTTTGCACAAACAATAACTTGCGTATATTAAATTTCATTTGAATTACAAGTGCTTATAAGCATAACTTTCCTGTTGAATAAATCTTTGATAATTGTTAAGTTATGGTCATAATGAGCTGCCATTGATATTTTTCCATAGCTATATACAGAGTCATATCTTGTAGCTATTCATTTAGAAAATTCATTATGCAGCACAATTAAAATGTTAAAGCACAACTGCAAGATACGCGTAGATTGTTTATTTATAATGCAAGTATTCAATTATGAACTGTTTACTACAATCGTAAACAATGAAATCCATCAACTGTTGATTGAAATGCTCAAATAGTAAATGTGATCACACTGAAATTACAATTATATTCTTCGCTGTATAATCGGCTTCAATTCTATCATCCTGATTATGATGATAGGCTCGAAAATCGTTTACTTTTGCTTTATAAGTCGTAAAAACAGTAGCATAATTTTACTGATTATTTCAACAGACACGATGTCTACAATGCAATCATGATCTAAAACCTGTTAGTTAATTTTAGTGAAAAAAATGAATGCATTTAATCAGTTCATATCTGAATATTATTTCGATCGTAAAAAACAAGGAACGAATTCAATTGTAATCAATGATAATGTCGAATAGAGAAAAGCAAAATGTTTTGCGTCTATGTTTTTTTCCATAAAATAAAATGGTGGCACGCCGTAGTGCACCACTAGACTCATTCATAAGAGCATACACTCATTGAAGTAGTTGTAAGAGGCGGTACTCAAGCATTATGGTCCTTTTAACAGAAAGATTTGAACTTGCTATTGTGAAAAAATTATTTCTTAATAGACAAACGATGCATTTATCTTCTTTGAATAAGTTTAGAAAAGATTCGATCCGTGTTTCTTTTCTTAATTCATTTCAGTCATAGTTGAAGAAAAAACAAAAAAAAAAGAATATTTATTCCGATATTAAAATCATTTTGTTCACTCAGGCTGAGTGCCATTGAAAAAACATACATCGAAAAAATAAGGAAAAGAAAAAAAGAGAAATACAATATTCAAATTGACAAAATAAAAATAAAACAGATCACCTAGAAGCATAAATCTAATCATCACTGTTTAGGTGTGTCGTTTTTTTCGGAGTATACATATACAAAATCAATAGAAAGAAAACGATTAGAATCGAAGAACAACATCATCATTATTGTGGCACATCGAACAAAAACAAAAAAAAATAGATAACTTCGAAAGAAGAAAAAACAAAACAACAGCCAAACACACAATTACATACACCGGTATTCACACATGTAGATACACTGGAGAGAGAGAGAGAGAGAGAGAGAGAGAGAGAAAGAAAAAGAACAGTGAGAAGGACAACATATGCATCTATATATATATATTTACGTATATATATGCATACATATAAATATACATATAATATATTTATAGATATAATCATTCATAATTTGGCCATTGGGTAGAATGATGAGTAAGAGAAGAAGAAATTGAATTTTTGTCGGCGAATGACAAACGAAAGAAACTAAATAGATGAGCATCAAAGAGCGTCATACGCCCACCGAATTATTGGCAGAAGTTCATGTAGTTTTTGTTTGTGATTTAAAATAGACTCTTATTTATGTTAATTAATTTTTTATGGTTGAGCAAACTTGTCAAAGATGACAAGCTAAAAAGATGATTGAATTCTAATATATAGTTTTTTTTCTCTTCTTCTACGTAGTATTAGGCCAAACAGTATGATCAAAGCGAGCATGTTTGAGTGAAGGCTCAGGACATGGAGATGAATTAATATAATCAAAAGATCTTTGTAGTGACGATTGTGATTGATGTTGTTGGGAAGATATTTGTGCTTTCGATAATGATGTATTAGAATTGGAATTATTATCCATTGTTGATGAACGATTGCTTCCTGCACCAACTGAAATTGAAGGTGAAAATGGCTCATTTTTCAGTCGATGATGATGTTGTTGTTGCTGTTGGGATAAATGAAGAAGTTGTTGTTGCTGCTGATGATGATGTTGATGATACAAATGTGGACTGGCACGTGCTGAATTGTTATTATTTGCTGTGGATTGAGGTCCGCATAGTGCTTGTTGCATATCATAATTCATCATACTAAAATAACGAATACTAGTATTAGAATAGATTCACACGTGAAATTATTCGGGGTTTAGTTTTTCTTAATGGCCACCTAAATATCGTTTTTTTAAACCTTTGAGGGGCAAGACTTATTTACCCTAATGGCAATGTATTCATTTGTAGAGCAGCAGCTAATGATGAATGCGAAGATCCATGCCATGAAGGAAAATTATTATTTTCACCTATACCGACATTTCCATTGCTCGTAGCCGTATTAAGTGAAAAATCAGCTAAAACAGTATAGAAAAATAATCTTTTATTTTTATATTAGAGAAAATGAAGTTTACCATTAAGACGATTTGTCATGCCTCCACCTCCACCTGTTAAATCATTATGATGAGATGTTACATGAGATGATGCTGATGCTAGTGATGTTGCTACATTTGCACTCATTGTAAACTTGTTATTTAAATTCGATGTTGATTGTTGTTTTGATGTGCCACTTGGACTTGTACGTGATTCGCTTGGAGAGCTTTGCGGTGAATATGTCGATTGTGGCGATGGGGAAGATGAGGCATCAATACCAGGTGTACCATGCACTACGATAACAAAATAAGATAAGATATTTCTTTACAAAAAAACAACACAGTAAGGATTAAACAAGGAACCTGATAAAAAATTTTGTTTCTGTGGATTTTGTTGGGTAATACCGTTAATCATTGATAAAGATGAAAGATAATTACTAGCCTAATGAAATAATCAGGAATTTTAAGAAAAAAGTTCAAATATGGTTTTTATACGAAAGATTACCTGATTATGATTATTTGTACGTTTCTTTGAATCATTAATAGTTGCGTCTAAAGGATGTTGATGATTTATTTGATGGTGAGATGGAATTGGATGATTACTGTCCATTTCAGTGGCACTTTCATCCTCCATATCATTATCACTGTCGTTGGGATCAAGATGTTTTGATTCTTTCTTATTAAGAATCTATATTCAGAGCATATATATTGAAGATGAAAATATTAGACAGATTTTGTTTTACCTGTACGATATCATTATTCGTTCGACTCTCATGTGGTTCATTGTATTCGGTATATTTGAGCAAAATTTTGTCCATATCTGTTGATGCATATTGAAACAATTTATTGGATGAATTAAATATAATAAGCGCTATTTCACAATCACACAAGACACTTAATTCGTAAGCTTTTTTCATAAGACCAAATTTTCGTTTTGTAAATGTCACTTGACGATTACGTTCGTCAGTGATTTTTGATATTTGAATTTTTTTTCGTCCCATTCTGAAAAATAAATTTAACAACATATAGTAAATAGAATAAAAATATATTTAAGAAAAAAATATACAGTATGGTGAATTTACACACAGATCCATACACACTTATATCGATTGTCTACCGGCAACAATTAAATATTCTAGTCTGGCAATCTTAGTCAAGCTATGCAAGAGTCAATATTTTATTTTCATTCGTGTCATGAATTAATTATAGAAGTACATCTTTTTGAAAACTGAGATTTTTGCATAGGAGAATCTAAAGATTGTACATCACATTGCTTTGGATGAATAGGTATTAAAAGTAAACTAAAACTGGCAATATGCTTAGACTAAAATAATATACTGGATATTGTGTATGTAAAGACTTTTATCAAAACCTTGTTCTTCTGAATACATCTTCACATGTAATAATGCTGATTAAAATTTTTGATCTCTTGTTTCAATAGTTTCACATATTGAATTCGATCAAATTTTTAGGTGAAGAAACTAAGTACGGGAGTTAATCTTTATTGTGGTTCGTAATAGGAAGTCGGTGATTTATATTTAAGATTCTATATTATTAAGCAAACTTGGAAAATGATATATATTTTCTGAGGGAATTTGATTTTAGTTTTCGGTTATGTCACCTTAACTAAATTAGATACATCTACTTGACAGTTCTAACTCGTGGGGATATAATTATTTTTTACGTTCGGTCATTTTCATCAATATCCTATATGAAATGCTTCTATAACTAATTGTTTTTGAAGTTTACACGAGCTGAAAATTTTCGAAAAACTTCAAGACAATTTTTTTCATCGAGTTTCCTATCACTATAGAATAGTACCTCTTGCTTTTGATTTTCATATAATGGCATCGAGAAAATACCTAGATGATCGACCAATCACGATCTATTAAAATACAACTATAATAAAACGATTATCTTCTAAATGTTAAATCAATAGCTCAAGAACGACATACTATTCGTAAGTGAAAGAAAAGCTATATTAAATGTATAATCTAAAAGGTTGTACCTATTCTTTTTCTCGCGTACGCTTAAAAAATTACTCATTCATAAAAGAAATCACGTGCTAGAAAGTGTATGCACCATGATCTTGTGTATTATCGACTGTGATTATGATGATGATGATGATGATGATGATGATGATGATGATGATGATGATGATGATGTAAGATTCTCTCGTTAATAATGCTAATGGAAACAAAAAGCTATGTCTAACGGCTTTATCAATAAACAAATAGGTTTTAAAGTGTTATAGAAGAGAAGCATGGACAATTAAGAGAAAGTATTTTCACGTCAACTATGCTATAGAACTGAATCAAGTCGACGATCGTTGCCTTGAAGGTTATTTTTTCTTTTGTTTTGAAAAGATTCATTCGCTGAATAATTAAATCTGATCTTTTTTTTAGAAAATTACTCTACGAGAATACAAAGCTATTCGTGAGAAAGATTGCAGATACTATCGATCTAATTGATTTTTAGAGAGGGGTTGTAGAAAAACAAAGTACTATAGGAACTATCAAGGGCCATGTTGTAAACTTGATGTTGTATTATTTTGTCAAAAAATATTAAACTTTAATCACTAACAACGGATATCCGATTTTTATTCACTATTAAAAAAAAGATTTCATATTAAGTTTCTTCGCCTCAAGTCTTATGAAATTAAGCATGTGAAACCCTTAAAATGGATAGTCAAACATTTTCATCAGTAGAAATATCCATGGAGACTTACTCAAAGAAAAAAGCTCTCACCACATTGTCACATGCAGTGTTAGACAAAATTGATATTCTATGGGCTTCTATGTAGAATTCTTTATTTCTTCAGTCATTCGTTTACACATTTGATGAAGAGAAAAAGAATCATTAATGGTCTCGAACATATTCTACTACAGCAAAACATAATGACAGGTTTCGTTTAATTTTACTACGTTGAATCTTTACGATAAACTTTTAAGCTTTACGCGAAGTATATTTAATTAAAAAACAAGGCACAACTACGATGAGTTTATAAATGCTGCTAAGCATGAACTTTTAATGGTATCGTTGAGAGGATTATCTTGTAGAATCAATCTTTTATGGTGTATTCAATGATAATGTCTACGTTCTCAGAGCATGAGCGTTAATCAAAAATACAAAAGATGAATCTCGAATGTAACGCGACATGTTTCAATACCATTGATTTTTTAGGGTATTCTTCTGCAGTTGGAGAATGATTCGAATTAAAAATAAATATTGATTCTTACACAAGCTGACAAAGGTTATAGGATCAACATTTGACAATTTTGCTAGCAGACAATCGGTGTATATCCGAAAGGAGTCGTCTGAAAAGAACCTCGGTTTAAATGGATTGAATGAGCGTGCAAGAGAGGTCATCTGACATAAGAGATATGAGATAAGAATCACGTAGTTTTCTTCCGCAGATAGTCCTCACAATGTGGAATCTATGTTTAAATATAGATGATACACCTACAATAAGAACATAAAAAGCCCCAGATAGTGAGACAACTACATACATTAAAAATGACATTGGAATACCTTTCTAATTCATATGAAAAAGAAAATCTATGAATTTACTTGCTCATGTGATAATATCTTATGCTTACACTTTTTAATTTTATTCAATTAGCATGCAATGAAACTTATTCATGCACACATGCTCATTTTGACGCGAAATCTGAGATACATCAAACAAATATCCAGTTATTCACATCACAATTATATATATAATATGTACATAAATGTTACTCGTGCATAGTTTCTTTCATCCTCATCGGTTATAGATCCCTTATAACGTAAAAGATATTAAATTACAAAATGCTTCACTGAACAAAACTATTCTCATCATTCTAGTACTAGTCGAAAGTCATATTCAACTTGAACCAATAATAAATTGCTCAAATAGATATACTTATTTACTTAATTTGATCTATCTAGAGTGTTCAGATAAAATAAACAAATATTCGCATCTACTAAATGATATTATACATAAATAAAAGACGTAAATTATATTTACCTGAAAGAACGGAAATACGTCTATTCTTGTTATTTTAGTCTCAATAGATGACGATAATGATATGAGTAAAATAGTATTGACAAGTCAATGATGTAGGTTGTTTGTTTGTCTAACTAGCACACGATGATGACGAGCTTGTGTACGTGTATTTCTATGTATCTACGATTGTCCTGAGATTTCCTTCTTTTTGCGCTTTCAAACGAAGAGACAAGGACGCAGTCGTGGCAGCAAAAAGTAGACCGAGTTGGTCGCGACTTTTTTTTGATATATATATATATATATATTTTTTTTTTTCGAAAAAAGAAAAACGAGAAACGTTTGTTGCTGATGCTAAAACGACGCCGGCGACTGTTATTGTTGCTTTCGTTCTTTTAATGCATTACTATGATGCCCAGATTCTTTCTCGTTTCAACCCCTCCTATTCTCGTTCTCCATTGACTCGGTTTCCTTTTCTTTTCTTTCTTTATTCTCTCTTTTTCTTTTCCTCTCCTTGCTTTCTTTCTTTCTTTCTCTAACTCTCTCCTTGAGTAATGTCTAATTTGCGTGTATCGTGCATCTAACATTGGTTTGGGGTGATGGTAGACAGCAAGATGTATTGGGACAAGCTGCTACATATTTAGTCTGACATGTCTTCCATCTTCTCTTAGTGGAACGTAGTCACATGGTGTCTTCTTTTCTTCTCTTCTTCTTTTTGACTCGTCTCTACAACAAGTACTTTAACGTCATTCTAAGATTATCCACAGAGCAAAGAAGAACACGAAATAAAGCAGCAACAAAAAAAGAGAATAGAAAAGAAAGAAGAAAAACGTATAGAATGCATCATCATCATCACCCTCAACTTATAGCTAAGACTTCTGCGTTTCATAAATCTGGCACGCGTACACGCATGCGCTTGAGTAAAAGACAAGGATAGCACTCATTTTTGTGCTATTCATTTCTTTTTTAAATAGTGATGATGAAACCTACTTTCACTTGTGTATACAAATAACTTTCCTTAATGAGCCGAGTAAATGTAAAGAACATTATACTCTCAGAGTAGAACAGGTAGAAGCGGCAGAAAAATAGACATGTTTGACCTTGATGACACTGTGATAAAAGATTATTTAAAAGGGAAACATGAAGGGTTGATGCTTGAAGATAGATATAAAAGAAAAAAGGAAATGAGAAGAAACCGAATATATGGTATGGAATGGTATTTGTCTATGCTTTCTACGATCAAGAAAACAAGTGACAGAGCCTGGATAATAATTCGTGCAGGGGTTCGAAGCAGAACGTTCATATGTAAAACATCGATTATATTAAGATATATTATTAATTCATTGAAGTATAAATGTGTGGGCGGTGAACATCACATAGATGAGGGGAAAACTGAACCAACTTCATCATGTGCATAACGTACCATAAATTTATAAGTGTATGAGATCCTATTTTCAAAAAAAGTTTTTTTTTTCTGCATTAAAATTCAATGATGTGAAACCTTGCATGCTATTATTAACATAGAATTTATTTACGTACTATAAAAAAAAAGTTTTTTGTTTCGAAAAAAATCAGAGAAGAAAGTAAATTGAAAAAAGGAAAAAAAACATTGACGATAAGAGTAGAGATTCTCGTTGAAGAACTTATCAATTAAAATATAAAAAAAGAATGAAACAGAAAATGATATTCAGTAGGAATATAGAATACAATTTACGATCTATTGCTACGATTCAAGGTGAGAATTATTAAGAATGAAAAGATTCAGAATATTGTGACTAGATCGCATAATACATAGATCTTGTTCAAACGCCACCACCGCTTCGTTCAACTCCTGAAGTGCCCTTCATTTTACCAATACGAGCAGCTTTAATAAAATGACTGGTCGATACAGCACCGGTATTGATTGCACTCATAAGCTAAAACACACGAATTGTACAACGAAAATCAAAACAAAAATATTCATTTTACCTGAAGAAATTCTTCAGTTTCAATAATACCATTTTGATTTTGATCAACTTCATGCATTAAAATACGAAGCTCTTCTTGGGATATATCACTATCGGATACCTTGTTCAATAGAAAAAAAGAATAATATTAATTATAAAATGTTCTATATGGATAAAAGTTGTTCTTCTGATTCCCAATAAAGTCAAACTAGACACTTACAAAACTCAATATATATATATATATATTCATACGCTGCAAAAAGGAAATACAGTCGTAAAGTGCAATTTTAGAGGAACGTTTTCTTTTTTTTTTCATTCTTTTATGTAAATATTCTTGACACAAAATGTTAAAATAGTTTGATTAAGAATAAAATTGTAACTCACTTGTAAATGTCTTTTTAGATCGCTAAGTGTTAAAAAACCTTTATTTTCAACGTCCATTTGTCGAAAATGTTTCATATAATAGCTCATTTCTTCTCGGGTAAAATTAATTGGTACATTTCGACGCATATCACGTTTCAAATTAAGACCCATTTCACGAAGTAGAAATGTTTTTGCACGATCCATTTCTTCCTGATAGTTGTTTTTTTTTTCAAATGAAAGAAAACGAAATAAATCAATGCTACAATTAAAATTATAATTATACTTTTTGTTTTTTTTCGTTCCATTTCAATTCTCTAGCCATGATGTCTATGATACGTGGAAGAGCTTCTTCAGCAGCAATAACATTAAGAAATGAAAGTCTTGTTCGTCGTGCAAGCATATCAATTGCTGTACGAGCATACTCTTTTATAGCATAACTAACTTCAGCTTCAATATAAGGAAATTCGGCGTGTAAACGTTTACCAATAACTGGCCAACGTTTTCCTGTTAATGATGATAGATCAGCTACTTTATTTGCTTGATCACCATATGTATTCGAAAGATGAATAGCAACCTATGGTAAAGAAATATATCAATAGAAAAATGAAAAGGAAACAATAGAAAAATTAATGATGTTATTCTGTGTACATCAGTTTCAATGCCATAATCTTGAACAAGTCGTATATAAGATGTAGCTGTCCATTTTTCACCTCCACTAAGTGTTAAACCTTTCGTAACGCAGTTATTCTTTGGTTGAAGTTGAGCTGATTGTATACAACGATTAACAGTTTCTTCAGCCATCTGTCGATAGGTTGTCCATTTTCCTCCTAGACAAAAATAAAGTAAATTTATCAGATTAGTATTTATTTTTAGTGTTGAGAATTAACAAGAGAAAATGTTTCAAATTTAATGCTCATATATAAATAATACTAATGCTTACCTCCAATTGTAACTAAACCTGAATCACTAACATGAATAATATGATTTCGTGCAATTGATTGTGTATCTTTTTTATTTGGATTCAGAACAAGCGGTCGAATACCAGACCATGCTGCCAAAACATCACCACGACGTACTTGAATATCAGATGAGAGGTAATTTTTGATTTCGCCTAGTATAAAATCTACATCTTCAGTTGATGGCGATGGATAATCAGTTACTTCACATGGCGTATCAGTGGTACCTTTGAGGAAAGAAAAAAAAAGTTTTAAAAACACGCTGCTCAGAAAAAGAAAAACTTCTAGTTGCTAACCAGCCATTGTATGTTTTTGCCACGGTAGAAAAAATATGACACGTCCATCGGACGTATTTGGATCAAGAAGTCCCATATTAGTTGGACTATAATAATCTGGTAAGACAATATGAACGCCAGCTGAGGGTTGACAAATTTTTGGTGTTGATGGATCATCTAATTGTCGAATTTCATCTGTATACGGTCCTGTCGCATTGACAACGCATTTCGCACGTATTGTAAATTCTTTATCTAAAATTTCAATGGATAATTTAATAGAATTTTTGTTTTTCTAAACTTACTGCGATATCGATCTAAACATTTCACACCACGAATGACTTTTTTTGTTTCTGTTTTTCCATCACTACTATTAATTTCAATATTTTCATGTATAAAATCAGTTACAGTACAATGATTAGCAATATTGGCACCCATACGTATTGCTGTAAATGCAAGTGCTATATTCATACGAGCATCATTATGTTGCCCATCATAATATACAATAGCACCAACAAGTTTTTCTTTCTTTAACATTGGAAATAATTCCAAAGCTTTAGTTTTTGATATAACATAAGACCAGCGAAGCAATTGCCGACCAGACACAAGATCATAGGATTTGATGCCCGCATAATAATACGGTAAAAGATACCATCTAAAATAGTTGGATTTGAAAGAAAGATGAATTACATGACTTTTCTTCATTTTTTTTAAAAATTATTTACTTATAAACTGGTAACATAATTGGTAATGGGTAGGATAGATGTGGTGCAATTTTAAGAAGATTACCACGCTCTGATAAAGCTTCTTTTACCATGTGATACTAGAGTTTAATAATAGAAAAATAATTAATCTTAACTATCTAGATTGTTGATTACTTGTTCGCTATCGAATTGCAAGATTGCTTTTTGTAAATATCTTACGCCACCATGAATTAATTTTGTAGATCGGGATGATGTTCCGCTACTAAAATCATATTTTTCTACTAATGCAACTTTGAGGCCTATTGAAAATTAAAACAGAAATCTCATAGAACTAATTCTTTTAAATAAAGTGAAACAAAAATTACCTCGACTAGCTGCATCAACAGCTACTCCACAGCCTGTAGCACCACCACCAACAACTACAATATCGTATTCAGATTCTTTGGACATAATATCAATTTGAGCTTCACGTGATGGATAGTCATCTAACCATACGGCTGGTCTATGTAATGGAGCACTCGATGCTCTTAATTTGTTTTTCTAAATAACAACAATTTCCGTGAACAAATAGTTGAATGTGCAAGAAAAACAAGCATAATTGTTAAATTTACCTCGAGCATATATTGACCGAGAAAACCAGTGCTTACAGCCGATGTACATAGCAGAATACCGTGTTGGATGATACGTCTACTAAAACTACGAGGCATCTCTAAAAGAAAACAGCAGATACTGGAATAGAAAGATTACTGGCCTTTACTGCTTCAAAAGTAAAAGGAAAATACTACGAAAATAGTGTAGATCAATACTTAAACAAAAAGCACAACATCACCTCGAGCAGTTATCGAGCAGACATTCAACGCATGTTGAAAGAATAAACTATGATTGGTTTAATAATGATTAGATATGTAGATGTCAGAACAAGCAGTATATTATCAAATAGTATATATGAGTGTATACGAACCAGTTTTTTTAAATATTCAAGGGTTAACTATCCGTCAATAATACTAGTTGAAGCCAGTATTCATTAACATTCGACGAATGTAGATCTTTTCAGCTTTTCATAATGTTCAGTCAGGCCTCTCTGGAGATATTTTCATTCTCGCGCTATGCTAGCTTGTAATTATCCATCATGTAGCAAAATCTTCTTTGTGTTTGACAAAAGAATCATTATTCAATTTATGACAATTGCGATTTATAATTGGCAAAGAAATATTGACTAAAGGAAAATTCTTTTTGAGAAAGTACCTGATCAGTGTAAAAATGACTCTCTACGTTTTGACACAGCCACTACACAATCGTTTTCATTTATCTTTATCCCTTGAGGCAAAAAGAAACAATGTAGCATTTAGCCAATAAAATTATATATATATATATATATATATATATATATGCAAAGATTTTGCTCTGAGGCAAAAGGAAATAGTCAGTAGTATGGTAAAAATGTGTTGTTATATGTTTAAGAACAATTCATATATTTAAAAAGATGTAGTTTGACCTTCATTTATCACAAATGTACTTCATCGCGTATAGAACAGTGACTGATATTCATACTGTTTTATTATTTAAATATATAATAGGTAAACCGAGAAAAAAAAATCGTCCATTGAAATTCTGTATGTATTTAACATAAATAAAACTGACAGTGCAAATAAATTCGCGTATATACCAAGAAAAGTACTTGATACGATTGATCGTCGATACAATTTTCAGACCAAACTCATTCAATAATTCAGCGTGCTTTTCGATTAGTTTATTTTCACAGTTCAATGCGTAAGAATAAAACAAAAAGAACAGAACATTTATTTTTCTCTCTTATTTCTTAACCATTAATCGATGCAGAGTATCATTGAATATTCCAGGGAGATTTATTGTAGCAACACATACCAGATTACCAATTAATTTTAAATACAAAAATATTCTGACTAATCCTTGCCTATGAATACTTATTCAATAATGCAAGTAATAGTTCTTTTTTTAATCCGAGAAATGTTTTCAATAGCTAATAGATTCAATAGAAAGTCTATATTTTATTGTTTAAAAAGGCCAAATCATTTCAAAATCTATAACATAAGTATTTTCTTTAACAAATAGAAATAAAAACAAATTTGAAGTTGATTATGTTAAACGTTGACTAGTAATTATGCATTTGTGCCAACAAAAATAATAGGAGTATAAAGCATTGAATAATATTTATGATCAATCAAAGAAGAGAAGAAAAAAAAATTAAAAAAAACAATAATTATTTTTATTCATTTATTTATGTTCTTTTTTCTTTCTTTTTTATGTATGATTTTAATTGAACACTGTTTTCATGCGTGTCCTTGGTTCAATTGGATCCATCGATTAAATTTGCTACTGCATGAGATAATAGAGAAGAAATAAATATGATCAACGATATTTTATGAATTGATGACACACTATTCTTTTGAATAATTTTGGTGGAATTTTCCGATTTTAATGAACATTGATTTCTCCAAAATTGTATACCTGATGGAATACTTAAGTTTTGTATTTTACTTTCATTCACTTTTAAATGCATGATAGATGCTGTAGACATGTTACTAACAGAACGCCACTCGTCTTTAACTATAGAACTTTTTGGTTGACCATATTTAATAAAATTTGACCATTGTTCTATTAATTGTTTGCTAAATTGAATCTGTTCATCGCTATAAAACGTTGATATGCTAGTATCGACAACTGAATTAGACGTATATCGAACATATTTTATTAATGGTGTTATATTATGATTAAAATTATTCAAATCAAATAGTAATGGTGTACCCCATGTATATTCAAGTTCAGCAAAATGACCAACTAAATTATGTTCATGTAAATATTCATTACATGTTGATGGATGTTCTTGTGCTGTTCGATGTGAATATTGATAGATATATGTACGATTTGAATGTTTAATACGTTCTTCCATAAAACGATAATAATCATTATTAAATAGAATATCACTTATAAGACGAGAATAATTATAAAATACTGAACAATAACAATCAGATGATTGAGAACAATTAATCGGAATATTATTTATATGATATCTATTGGAGAAGAGACAATGCTTAGATGTTCAAATCAAAATTATTATTAAGTAGACTTACAACTCTAAAGCTTGATGATGTAAACAAGCTTTGTCTGGTTGCATTGCTGCAAGAAATTTTAAAGCTACTGCAGTAAAATTTACGTGACTAACTGCGACAATTTCTTGATTATGCTGTTCCATAAGAATAGGCACTACTGCAACATAAACACCTGATAACAACAAATAAAATAACAAATTGAAAATATTTCATTTTGAAATTAATTACCTTCGTCATCTGTTGATCCCATAAGTATATCAATATTTGCTAGTGTATCATTGAGTTCGAATACTTCTCGAAATTCGCCCATAAAATTTCCGGTTACAACAACATTTGTATGATTAGCACTCATATATGAATGATGTTCATGTTCAGCAATTAAATCAAAATCTCGGTCTTGTAAACATTTTAATTTTTCATCAAATGTCATCGTACTTGCACATCCATTATCATGGGCAACGATATCAAATTTTTCCATTGCTTCTCGTGCTTTTAAATGTGACCATATATTAAACGGGCTACCACTCTGTAATATTAATCGACGAATGCGTCCTTTATTGAGTGGTGATTTGGCTAAATAGTAAGAATGTGGAGCACCAGCTGAATGACCACCAACTGTAATACGTTTAATATCACCACCTAATGCATTACCATTTTTATAGATCCAATCAAGTACTAATGCTTGATCATAAAGACCAAGGTTACCTTCTAAACGTTGATCACCCGATGATAAAAAGCCAAAAAGATTTAGACGAAAATTAAATGTTATCACAATAATGTCGCCTACAGCAGCAAATATGGTTCCATCAAATATATTACCTGTACCTATTTGACCCGAGCCACCATGAATCCATATAAATATAGCTTTTCCTTTTCTTTCATTATTTGGAGTCACCGGCATATAAACATTTAAGAAAAGACATTGTTCAATAAACGATGATTTAACAGAAAATATACCATAACTAATTGAACATTGAGATGTAGACTGATTGAGTACTGAAGTAGTTTCACATGAGCCTTCTGTTGGTTTGCACGAAGGTCCAAATTTAGTTGCATTCATAATTTGATCATTTTCTCGTTCGATCAGTGTTGCTCGATCAAATCTTTTATTTACATTACCATATTGAATTCCAAGATATCGCTGGACAATAACGTTCTCATATTTAACTGTTTGACCTATGTAGATACCCGACGATGTGTTCAACAACTGAACAGCTAATGTTGAATCGAATATCGATGGTAGAAATAGAATAATGATGGCAAGAAAAAATACAAATATATTCCAAGACATAAACGAATGTAGTACATCGACTGTTTGATGTCTAGGACGGATGGGCTCTTCTTTTTAAGAGACAGAAAAGCAATAAAAAAAAACAAGAATCAGCAAAAGTATCTTTGAGAGAATTGAAATCGTCAAATAATAGTATTTTTTTATCTTACTCTTGTTCTCTGTATATTAGTATTAATGCCAGTCAGTTTCGGATACAAATGACTGATATAAACATTAAGGGAGCTGTGCTATTGCCTAGCTGGACTTACTTGTCTCTATCTAACTCGATTGTTTGTCTGTGTTAATTAAACCAAAATTCATAGTGTGTACTGTCAACAGATGTGATCTCTCGTCGGTGATCAGCAAATGTAAGAAGAAGAAAGAGACAGAGCGAGAAAGAGAGAAGAAAAAAGATTCAATTACATAATCTAACAGATCATCATCATCATCATCGTTGTCTAATTGACATCGATGCCAGTAGTAGGAAGTGTCGATGAATATTTTTAGCATGTAATCTTCTTTTTTTATTTGTCAGAATTTTATCTTGATAAGTGATAAAGCTCTACGATTTGATTAGGATTATTAAATGTAAAATACATTTAGTCTTTTCCTTTCTTTGCTTTCTTATTCTATTCTACTACCAACACTCAAAAATCGTACTATTGCCAAGTTCTTTTTCTGTCATCATTCTTCATCTTATTATTAAATATGCAAACAAACCTAATAGATTGTTTTGTCAATCTTTATTATCAAACATGAAGTACGACAACATACGACAACTAAAAAGAGATATGCATGAACGGATACAAACATACATACGTAGACATGAAAAAAAATATCTATTTCCTTAAAGAAATAGCAAATAAAAATAAAAATAAAAATAAAAATGACAACAAAAAGTACGACAAATAGAAACAAATGAAATCAAACTCTCGACATATATAAGATCTATCATAGATTAACATATATTGTAAGTTGTTTTATTCGTTTCTTTTTTCTTTTCATTTATGAGCACATAAGTTTAATTAATGATCCAATCAATACAATAAAAAGACATATAAAACAAAATTTAATAAAATATTCTATTAATTTTGTCTGAATATTATTGTTTTCGTGAGTTCCTTGCGTTAGTGATAGACTTCGATAAATAGCTTTTCGAAAGTTAACATGAGCTAGACTATGTCGACGATAGGAAATATCATTACTAAAAATAAAATAAAACCAAATTTTTGTTCTTTATTTGTATAATTATCGTAATAAGAACCAATTACTGTTAAAGTAGCTATAAATAGTTTGTCTTGTTCTTCTAATCACATTATGGGATTAAGTCTAGATTTATTTCTATTATGGGCTTTTTTTATTAACTTACTTATCTTTTTTTTCATTGCTACTGTGATCTCCGGGCATCGCATTTGTGCGTTGTTGTTGATATCGAACATATTTATCGTCAGGATCAGAAGTCATATTTATTTATTCTTTCTTGTTGTTCTGTTGGAAAAACACAAGTTAATTATAATTAATACAATGAAAATAAACATACGGCTCGATGAGACAGAAATTGTATCAAATTAAAAGACATCAATTATACAATAATAAAAAACTGGATGTTTTATTTTTATTTTTGAGAAAAATTTTCGTAGAACAATGACGAGAGTCTGATTAATATCGTAAGAATAATATTGCCGCAGTACTTGCAGTAAAAGGAAAATAAAACGAGAAAACGATAGCTTTTCTTTGTGTATTTTTTGTTTTGAACACGCAAACAAGAAGGTAATCTAAAAGTGTTGACGTCAACATTACTTCCAACGGTGTGTTTTTCTTCTTAAAAAAAAAGGTCTCTTACAACTAGCAGCTAATGTCGTATGCGCAACTATCACAGGAGTAAATTTGAAGAATTAGAATAATAAAAGGCTTTGCTGGTTTGAATAATTGAAGATAAATATTTTAAAACTAATAGAGCAAAAATAGAAACAAGATAACCTAGTTTAATGTACACAGTACAAAATTATGAGAAAATCATTGATATTTTTATTGGTGTATATGATTGAGTGGAAACCTTTCAGATGATGCTGAATGAAAATAGAAGAGAATAGCTGCGGTAAATGACGATTATCTCATCGATCTTTAAAAGTACTATTTGTATTATGTAGATTTTGCTTACTTGAATTATCATATTATTCAAATCAGTCTAAGAAAAACATTAAATAAAGGCATCGACAAAATAGAAGATCCTCCTTCGATATAACAGTTTTTTTCGTACTTTTATATTTTTTGCTCGCAGACGTACATCTGAATGAGTTTAGCCTTAAAAAGATTCTTTTTATTTTAATTTTTCAAACGCTCAGCTCCATCTACAATTCAATTAGATCAAATAGGAATAGTGAACTTAGTTATATTCATGCAAACAAAAACGTACCTATTATGATCTAGTTCATTTAATTCTCTGTCATATTTTTCTTCTTTCATGAAAACTGAACCGTATGATTCTTTTTATAATTACCAAAATAGAAAGTTGACTTTGAATAGTCCTTTGTTGTGTTCAAAAAGATTTTTGAATTTGATCAAAGAAATATGAGCTACGCTGTTACGTTTTGTTGTATTACTAAATTGCTTAAATTTGTATCTTAAATCAAAGGGTTTTTTTCTTTCACCTTAGCTATTTATTAGTAAAAAACCCGGTTCTTTTCTAAAATAAACTTTGAAGCAATTAGAACCAATGTAAATTCACATTTCCACGGTTCAATCTGATCCAAAGATGGATTCAAACGTTTCCTATTAAAAAGTATTCAATAGAAAAGAAAAATTGCAGTTCTAATCTAAATACAAAGAACTATCAGAAACTACAATACACTTTCGAGTAAGATTCCTTAATACAAAAAAGCGATAGAATAATCTACATTTTTTCCATTGATTTTCGAAAGGAAATTTTTTGCAGTCTATATAATTAATGGTCTATTTTGAAGATGGTAAAAAAGACATAAATTTTATAATGGCTTTTTGTATTTGATCCTATAAAATCATAACATTTGATCGCGTCATTTTTTATCTGGTGAAAAATATTTCTAATATGAACTGTCAATAGATCGCATTTTATATAATTGAGTATATTTTATGGTAAAAATATTCTTATTCTCGTGGCAATACTTTTTTCAAGGCCCATATCGTCAAGGGTAGCAAAAGGTCTACTTCTATTAAGATACATACTAGAATACTCACGTTATAACTTGTGAACGATAGCACAGACATCAGATTCTTTCATTTGATCAATGAATTTTACTTATATTCTATAAAAGCTGTGAAAGTATATTTCGACTGGATAGTTTTAGATCTAATCAAAAGTATTCATTATTATGTTTTTGTAGAATATTTTGATTTTTCAGAACATTTTAAAGAGTTACACATCATCATTACGTTTCGGTAATAATCGAGTCTTTTTTTAAAGGAATAATAAAATAACATTTAGGTCAAGCAAATATTTTGAGTTTTTTCACGCCTACAAAAAGTTATTCTGCAAAAACTAAAACAAATAAATCGGAAGCATTACTCTAACTAAAATCCGACGTTGAACAAAACTCGGATTCTATTCATGCCATCAGGGAAAATGAACAAAATATCTATGGATATAGAAAAAACAAATTCAACATAAGCGAAAGTTCTAGTTTTGATCGTTCTTCTATGATTTCATTGAGTCGAATTACGATTGTCAATGAAACAATAAAAAAAAATGAATAATGTAATAATAATGGCCGTTATAAACATGTTGACTGGAAAGATTTGACGCATAAAATGAATAGTTCGTGATTATTTTGAGCGAATAGAAAGATATTTTACTTCGAATGTCAACCACAATAATCTATTATTTATATGATGAACGGTTAGATATGTTGCGTGCGTGATAGAAACAATTTTCTTAATAAAAAGGAAAACATGTTTCATTTCCCATCAGGACGTCTACATCTTAGCATTTCTTTTGTCTGATTATTTAGCATATGAATCTTATTTTCAGAAAGCACAACAGTATTAATTCAATCGAATACGCTCAATTCAAAAACCTATTTAATCATTTCGAAAATTCACTAAACCCAATTCCTATCTGTCAGAGAAGAAGTTGAACTTTTAAAACCTGAATTAAATTTGAATAGTGAACAAAAATACATTGGAAATTATCTTGAAACTTTTCTTGTCACATTATACGCATGGGTAAGAATGTATCTCTATCCCTAGTTTGTAAACGATCACAGCATAAAAGAAAAGATTAAAACCAAATCGTTGAAAATATCAGAGAAAAAGTCACTTATAATAGTTCTAAGATAGATGTTGCATGTTTGCTAAGCAGAGAAAAAAAGTGCTTCATATCGAAACACGGCATCAACTATTATTTTGATCGTTGTTTCGACAAAAAGAAACAAATCATATCATGAAACGAATCATCAATGTGGTTTAAACTAAATAAAAATGATCACCAGCCTATGCAGTATAATCGACATCGTAGAGGTGATAATGTGACACTGAAACATTTAGTTATATAGTGACTATTATCCTAGTTTTGCACATTGATTCTTGTTGTCTGACTTAAAATCTACTGCTACTCTATCAATGATAGAAAACCTTGAATAATTTTTCATATTTTAGTGCATTTCTTTTTTCAATAGATTTTTACACAAACTGAATCAAATTTAGTTCAATGGTTTCGAGTTTTCTTGCAAATCAATCTATCAAAATGTCGAAATAATTATAAAAAGTCAAATTAATTTTGTTTTTTTTATATGCAAATATTTATAATAAAAAAAAAGACATACATGACAAACACAAAAAGACCGTTATGTCCTGTTTTTAATGTTATTATTTCATCGTAATAGGAGAGGCGCACTGATTTTGATAGAAACATCTGCGTAGACATATTCAGCTTGTCTCATAGAGAATGAGAGAGCTGGTGACTATTAACAAATCCCTTGAGGATCCAGCGTTCAATGGTTGCTCATTACTCATTTGTTTCTATAAGCCTTACTGTTTTCCAGGATCACAGTAATTCCATGTAATTTAGTCGAGTACATTCACTGAAATTTCACTAGTGTCAAGCACAATTAATTTTAGTCTGTGATATTTTGTTCTTCATCGATTGCACGACAAGAAAATAAATGAGTTTAAACACCAGACAATTATAGGTAAGCAAAACTATGACAAAAGACCAGATTTTACTTCAATTTTATAAGTATTTTCAACATATTAACTTTCCTGTCTAACGACGAGAGTTTTCTCGTAAGCGTATTTATGAAAGTTTTCTACTACATTTATATCTGAATTTTAAATAATTGGCCCGTCTGAAAGCTAAATAGAATTTTTTTGTTTAAAGTAAATTTTATTAAGTAACGAATTACATAGATAGATGTTTAAAAAAGTCTTTCCATCATTTTGATCCGTAAAAATTAGTTGAGTCTGATCACATGTTTACTGTCGCATTTGTTCCAACGATTTTACTTAATTTTTTACAGTAAGAATGCATCATTATTTATCGTATCAATGTCCTTGAAAATTGAACATTTACATCAAAACTAATAAGATAAAAAACAGATGCTAATAGTAAAACAAAATATTCTCAGATGTCGATTTTTCTATTGATTTCAGTACAGAACGAACTGAAACATAAGTGAATTTTTAAAGGAACGCTTTCAGCCTTCCTGTATTGAAAATGTAAAAAGGCTCATTTTAGAATTCTCGTCATTCATGTTCGAAATGATCGAAGTAGAAAAAAAGTTGATCAGAAAGTGTGCTTTTCAAAAAACTCTTCATGACGACTATTATTCGAAACCTAAGAGACAGTTGATTGTTTTCTATTAATACGATGCCATTTTTCTGCGTCCCATTGTTTCAAAGAAACCATCGAATTCTTCTTTTATTCTGTTTTGGGCATCTTATCCTTGGTAAATCTAACCCATTTATTTTTTGATCGTGACGTAGAGAGAATTATTCCACAATGGAGATTCATGAAATCTAAAACAAAATTATTAAATACTCGCATTTTAATTAATCCAATCAACAAATAGCACATTCAATTCTTCTCATATCTCCACATTTTGATTTCGATTGATAAAATTAATATCGTAATTCGTTAATAATTATAAAAAATTTTAATTAATACTTTTCTTTTCAAGTCCTAAATCTCAGTACACTTTATCAATCTTTGTTCTGAGTTCGATGTATGTCTCTATTTTTAATAGAGATCGCTGCAAAATAGTTCATTAATTTTCTTTATTCTGATGCTCCAAGGAATAAAAAGATATGATCATAAAATAAAAAGATATAATTATCAAAATAAGAGGGTTCATTTTTCTCTTTTTTATTTCCCCTACTTGATTAAGTCTGCATCTAGTTTCTTACTGTATGCTTCAAAGAAAATAACAATTTTGTTTCCAACGAGATTCATTGTGCACTCACGTACAAGGATAATTCTATGACTTTTTTTCATTAAGTATTATTCAATCTGATAAAAAATCAATTTGTCTTCATTTTTTATATGCTTAAAAAACAACATCTTGACATAAATTCACTATACGTAAAACAGAGATAAAATATTATCTTTATAGAAGGATACAGAGACTTTCAGATGTTTTAATTCGTAATAATATATCGATGTATTCAGATGTACGAGAATTAGATATTATTGTAGATGCTAGGTATGCATGCTACATTGAGCATAACTAGATCTAGACCAGTTATCAAATTGAGTTGACACAAAGAACAAACTGATAGAACTCTTTACTGAAAATTATGTTTGACCTGTGTAGTCTATTTAAGTTTTGCTTTCCAGAAAAAGATTGACAGATGTTTCACTTTATACACGACTTGCATAAACGGCTACAGATATGCTATCGTGTTATGATATATAATTGTATTGTATCCATGCCTTCATTATATTTTTTTGGCATTTCTAAACAATCATTCGATATTATTTAAAGATTTATATGAATTTGTCGTATAGAACAATTCTAGAAACAATTGTGTGTTGTGTTGTGTTCGCATGTTTTACAATCCATTCCTGATTTGAAAACAAAATAAACTATGGATGTATCCAGTTGAGCGCCATCTATTTTTCCAATGATTTTTTTCTTTTATATAAAAATAATTCAAACGATTATATAAGAAAGTCGTTTTTTTCAATTATATTGAATAGAAATAAACACTCACAATAGATGTCAATAAGATAGTTTTAGTACAAAAAAGATAGACATATCATTTATTTTCGTACCTCCTATTTCGTTACATTCAAGGTGTATGATACATGATGCAAATCTTTTTCTGTGTGACGCATTTGTATATTGATCAAAATTATGCTGTAACTAGAGAAAATAATCTACGTAGATTTATTCAATAATTGGTCAGATTAACATCGAGAAATTCTTTTACTCTTCCTTCTCATTCGTTGTTTTTTTATTGTTGTTGTTTATTTGCCACTCAAGAGATATAACTCACCATCATATGTTCTAGACGAAGTTATAAAAGAAAGTTTTTTGTTGTGTTTCAATTATCATCAATCGTATTTTGTTCATGAAAATAATTGATTCATATTGGTTTGCTCGATCAGTGATGGTCGACTTGTGTTGTTGTTGTTGTTGGTTATAAAACACACAACACAAAAGAATCTATTGAACAATAGTGGAACAATAGCACAGCGAGAAAGCGACCTTATCTTGATTATCTTTATATCTTTTTTTTTCTTCGTACACCTTGGACCTGTCGAGCTGAAGCGCTTTTCAGACGCACTCACTCATCTGCGACAAATGCCGTCGTCGTCATCAAAGGATAAGGACAAAGAGAAAGAGTCTAATAAGACAAAAAAGGTATATATTTTTATTCTATTTCAAATATTAGATATGAAAATATTCATATGGAAAATTTTCTTTAGACGACCGCAGTCACAAAATCAAAGTCGAAAGATGAACCAGATAATAAAACACCTGGAACAGATGATGTAAGACATTTGCACACAGTTCATTTAGATATTTAATTTTTTTATATTTACATCAAAAGAATAAAGGAAAAGACTCGGCAGTTGGCAAAGCAGCGTCTTCAACTGGTAACAGTGCTGCAATGAAATCTATATCACGTCCAACAAATTCTCTTACGGCATCAACGCAACAACAAAATGAGTCAATATCAAGTGGAAATAATCTTAATACAGGCGGTTCGAGTTTAACATCAACACATCCACCTCAAACACCGTTAACAAAAGTACAACCAATGGCTGGCGCGCCTAACATTCGTAAAGACAATCGACGTAATTCTTCGCGATTTAATATTTCGAAAAATCGCGAACTTGTCAAGTTACCATTAATGAAAGAGGCAGCAGCTAATGAACGTGAAACATTATTTGTACAAAAATTACAGCAATGTTGCACTGTATTTGATTTTCAACTTGATCCATTATCGGATCTTAAATGGAAAGAAATAAAACGTGCTGCATTAAATGAACTTATTGATTATATTGCATCTAATCGTGGTGTTGTTACTGAAGCTGTCTATCCGGAAGGTGTACGAATGGTAAGTAATTGAGTAGAAAATTTTTTTAATAATAAATTCTGAGCTATTCATGGGTGCGTTTATTATTTTAGTTCTCTGTAAATCTATTTCGAACACTACCACCAATAAGCAATCCGTCAGGTGCGGATTATGATCCGGAAGAAGATGAACCAAATCTTGAAGTTGCATGGCCTCATTTACAACTTGTCTATGATTTCTTTCTACGTTTTCTGGAATCTCCAGATTTTCAACCAAATACAGCTAAACGATATATTGATCAAAAATTTGTTCTTAATGTAATGAAAATCAATCATTCATTTTGTTCTCTCTAAACACAAAATATTTTTCTCATGTAGCTACTCGATTTATTTGATAGTGAAGATCCACGTGAACGTGATTATTTAAAAACAATTCTTCATCGGATTTATGGAAAATTTCTCGGTTTACGTGCTTATATACGAAAACAAATCAATAATACATTCTATAAAGTAAATAATTCGATAATAATTTATTCTTTTTTTTTTATCTCAAAATTCATCCAATTTAAGATACTCTATTCAAAAGGAAGAAAATCTTTTTCGTTCTTTTTTCCTCCTTTCGAGATCATTGATGATATTTGGTAAATACTAAAACAAAAAGGAAATCACTTGAATAATCATTAGTAAATAGAAGAAAATAAATGTTATTATTTGATTTATATTCTTATTAGATACGCAGAAGTCCTACTTGAATTGCTATCTAACAGTATTGGTGTCTTCAAAATAATTGATGGCCTTTCTAGAATCGAAGCAGATGGGCATTCAGCCGGAATAGGATGGGTGCACATATCTAATTCTTACTAATGCATAAAGATGATCTATTTAGTTACTTTCGAATATAAAAATAATCCATGATGGTAATGGATAGTTTATAAAATATAATCGCCTTATTATATTTGTATATTTTTTCATGCCTAGATTAAACTATTATTGACCCATAAATATGTCGAAGGAATCTTCATAAGAAAAAAAAAATGAATGAAGAGCATAATAACTTAACCATGCTTTTTTTGTGTGCTCTGTGCCGTGTCTAACATCCTGCACTGATTGGAGCACACTACCAGTTTTTAAAATTACACATCGATTTACCGTCCCTTTTACCCGGGGAAGCATTTCTTCCTGAACGCGATTTGTCAATTGACATTTTACTTCTCGATCTATTGATCTTGTTTTTTTTCTAGGTACAAAAATACTTCTAAATTTTATGTCTTGACTTTTGTTTCGAATCTATTGTTGTTATTGTAGTAGTATTATTATTACTAGCTATTACACATGAAAGTCATATATCAACGGGTTGAATAGGAAATATGTAAATAATATAACAGATTTATTAAACATTAGGAAAATAATTGTGAATGAGAAAGTTTTCATTGTGACTATGCAATTGATGAAAATCACTTTAAAGCTTTCAGCCTAAATCTATATAACTACAATTATGATGATGTTACACAAACGCAACTATTTCCGAATAGAAAGTTCTACTCAGTCTTTTAGATTTCGTTACGCAAGAAGTCTTAGTACTTGTGATACATCCGGTAGGTTTTATTTTTGCTGAAAAACAACTAAAAAGAGCTGAATAGTCCAACATTTGAAAGTTCATTTTATCGTCAATAAAAATTAAACACTAAATATCATTATTTTCTTTTTAGTTTATCTATGAAACTGAACGACATAATGGTATTGCTGAATTACTTGAAATTCTCGGAAGGTACAAACAAATAATCGATTTAATGAATATAACTGTTTGGCTTTATTTTTAGTATTATAAATGGGTTTGCATTACCATTAAAAGAAGAACATAAAGTATTTTTAATCAAAGTTTTATTGCCATTGCATAAAGTTAAAACATTGAGTGTTTACCATCCGCAATTAGCTTACTGTATTGTGCAATTTTTGGAAAAAGATCCGAGCTTAACTCAACCGGTATAACACGATTATTTTCATAGAAACGCTTGCTATTATTTCATTGGTTCTTTTTTCCCCATTATCTCACAGGTGATCACGGGTTTACTTAAATATTGGCCAAAAACTCATAGTCCCAAGGAGGTCATGTTTCTCAATGAATTAGAAGAAATTCTTGATGTTATGGAGCCAGTTGAGTTTCAAAAAGTCATGGTTCCTCTATTTAAACAATTAGCTAAATGTGTATCAAGTCCTCATTTTCAAGTGAGTTTTATTGATTTGAATTTAAAGAAAATAATTCAATGCTATTTTCATTTTCGTTTATCTGTCAGGTTGCTGAAAGAGCACTCTATTATTGGAATAATGAATATATCATGAGTTTATTAACAGAAAACGCCGCAGTCATCTTACCAATCATGTTTCCAGCTTTGTATAAAAATACAAAAACACACTGGAATAAGTACGTACTTTTGTATCATTGATTGAATTTTTATTTCACTTCATGATTCTGTTTTCTATTTCCAAATAAATAGAACAATACATGGTTTGATTTATAATGCATTAAAACTGTTTATGGAAATGAATCATAAATTATTTGATGAATGTTCACAAAAATATAAACTTGAAAAGCAAAAAGAAAAAGAGAAATTACGCGATAGAGATGCAGCTTGGACGAAAATTGAATCAAAAGCTAGACAGAATCCAAATGTAAAGAATTAGTTCTTTAGCTTACATTTAATAGCTTGCATCATTTGTTTCTTTATTTTAGTATAAAGTTTTTGCTGTGAATCAACCTGAACTCTATCGGCCAACTTATAATGATGATGATGATGGTGGAGCGGCGAATATAACTGCTAGAGAAATTGAACAAGAAGCTAAAGAAGTAAGAAAGAGAAACTCATTAACTTAATAATTGATATTTGATAAACACTTGACTTGTTGAGTACTATAAAAGAAAAAAGAAACTCATAAAAATATAACTCAGTAATATCTCTGTATTCAAATGTTTCCATTCGTCCGTGGCGTCGTTTCTTAAAATTAAAATGTATCCATTACTATATTTCGTTTTTAACAAAATGTCATGTACGTTGAAGCTATTTCAGATACTCTTAGAACTGCAGTTCTTTTATTTTCAATCTATTGATTTATTATGGAGAAACTAGTGGTAGCGAGATGATTGTTGTATTTAACCTTCGATCGCGTTATAGATACGTTGCGACTCGAAGTTTTGTTCAAAAACAAAGTCTGCTAGCTTGATGAATATTGAAAATAATATTTCTTTATTATGATACTAAATTTCGAAAAGATAGGCATTTGCCACGGATAGGATATGTTACCCAAAAAAAGAAGCTTTTGGCAGAAATTTTCAAGAAATTCTAAAGATCATTTGATATCCGTATGAAAGAAAACTTGTATCTAAACATAAAGTAAAATTCAAACACGGTGGAGTTCAGAACGACGTGTCCTATTGAATGTTCTCTGGTATAAACAAAATATATTCTTTCCAGTTTCATATAAACTAAAACAGCAGGTATCAATTAAGATCTCTAGTGACGTTGTGAGACTTTGTTGTAGTACTAAATTAAAATTTTTTGTTGTATTTTTTAGGCAAGTCGTACTATGCAAAAAGGCAAGCCATCGATAAGACGCAAGAGTGAGTTGCCTCATGATTATTCTACATTGAATGCATTGGAAAAACACAAGCGACCGAACGAGTTTTTAAATTCTCCAGCTGAAACACATCCTAATGCTCAATAAACGAACAGGATAAATCGTAATATAAAGCAATCTGAAGATCTTATTGTTGTTTTTTCTTCTTCAATATCTTTATTTCCTTATCTAGCTAAATCAATTCCTCTTTTTTGTTCTTTCGTTTTCATCTGTACAGAATCCAAAAAATTATTTAATTAAAAAGCAAAAATGAAGATTGGACTAAAACGTTTCTCTCTTTCAATTAGGATTCATTTCTTTCTAATATACGTTATCATATGTCCTCTGTTCCGCTTGTATTTTTCTACACATACATGATTTAAACATGTTTCGCTTTGCTTCTTTCCTTTTTTTGCTTGTATGTTCAATAGGGCGAAGCCAATAACACTTTTTTTTGTTCTTGTCTTCTATTCTCGCTCGCGTCCCATTTATTCGTTTCCCCATATACATATCTTTACATTATTCACATATTCTATCTCCCCCCCTTTTTCTGTATCACCAGACAATGGAATAATTGTTCCTTTTTTCAAAAAAAAGAAATAGAAAGAAAAACTGTATGCGTATGAACGCATACTTAATCGCGAGCTTTGATCGATGATATTGAAGAGAAAAATCAAAAGAAAAATCGTATGGTGAAACATCGATTATCATTCTCTTTATTGCACATGCGACTCGTGTGATCGTCTGCATTTGTTACGTTTGTTTGTGAGTGTAATTCTTCTTTTTTTCTCTTTACGGCTTTTGTTTGCAAAACATCAACATATACACAATTTTTTTATCATCATGCTTTTTTTTCTTTTTGTCTGACGACTTATGTGGCTTTTTTTTGTTTGATTATAGATTTTATCATCATCTTTCTCTAAATACGACTGTTGTCATCGACGGTTTCGATTTCGGTTTTGTTCTTATATATTCATTTATCTATTGCCATGCTTGTTTAAGCAGATATTAAAAACTCACAAAAGAAGTAACAAAGTTTTTTTATTGCATCGAAAAGTATTCGGCTTTTCTCGTGTTCATTATAACACACCAGTTTTATATTTGGTATAAAAGTAAAAATTATGGTGGATACAGTATTAGCAGCAGCAACAACAACAACAACAACAACAACTACTACTACTACTACAGGAAATGATAATGATGATTGGGAAGTAGCTGTCGATACGGGTGAATTTGATAAAAGACTTGAACAACAAGAAAAAGCTCGTGCAGCTAATCAAGTAAATTTTTGTTTTGTTTCAGATTAAAGCAGCGACTTATTTTTCCTCAAAATATGAATGAAATTCTAAATAGTTTATCTTTCTTTGAAAATTTTAGTAAAATATTATAAAATTGGTGAATACTTTAGAAAGAAACCTGCCATAATATGTTGAAGTAAAGATAAATATTTTAATGAGAATAATTACTTTATCTGAGTTTGACGATTATTTATAATAGAAACATACGGGTATTAATCACGCTAATATAGTTTTCTATATTTTTGTTTTTCTTGAGCTTAGATGTTATCTAATGTATATCACATAATTATAAGCATGTACTTTTACAAGCATCGGTTTGAGAGTTTACACGGTTCAAACAATTCGATTTTCTCATTTGGCAAATTAGAATTTTTAGATCTTCGAAATAGTGTGGATGTCCTTTTTTTCAGAGAACTCGTTGACCTTTGGCATTTTGTCGAGTGTTTCTAACAGAATAGATTTATGAGGCATGGGTTGCATTTCTTTATATAATTGATCATTTAACAGATTTTTAAAAGATAAAAACGAGAAAAACTAATTAAGCATTCATACGAATCGTTTTCTTATGCCAACTGTCAAGAGTAAGATGTACATTCTAAATTGTAATACGAATTCGAGCTGTGCGCATAGTTAAATATATGGTAACAGCGGAATCGATAGTAATGACAGTTTTCATTTTTGACTAATATTAGATATGTCATTGGATCAGAATTTATTAAAGCTATGGGTTGTATGAATAAAGTGCTCCAAGTAATTTCCGATTTTTGACAGTAATATTTGATCTATGAATCGGATCCTGTCTAACTAAAAACATCAAGCATTGGGCTTCACATGTAAAACGAAAGTCAAGATAAAGTTTTAAATTAGATAGAGAGACTTCCTCGTTGGATTCGTTCGATCATTTAGATACATGTTGTGATAGAATATTTACAATTCTTACACATCGACGAACTATTTTTCTGTTATCTAGTAATAGATTATTAGTTGCCAATTTAATATTGTTAAATCGACTGAAAAACTGAATGAATCATTTCGATGCTTTTGTAGACCTTAGTATTTTTTTTTCTTCAAGAATTTATGACTCCACTTATAAACGTTTTCTAATTTTCCAGTGTTGAAATAAACAATCATAGATTGTCAGATAATTTGGCGTAATTAGAATTTTATTTTTGTCGGATTGACTGGCAATGATAATAGAATTTTAAAATAATACATAGATAAGAATAAAAAAATTACTCTTTACAAACATGTCTAGACTAAGACAAAACAGAGTTTTTTTTTTGATTTATGTCAGGAATCCATCTTACCTGCTATAGCATCTACTGTTAATGATGATGACAGTAGAACTTCATCAAATATCAGTTTTATGAACTTGAATAAACCCATTCGAATTCTTAAACGACCGATCAGTCAGTCTCAATTATCAACTACGAATGTCAATGTAACGAATTCTTCAATAGCCACAAGTACAAACACTATTACTACCACAGCAGCATTGCATAATGACAATAATGCTAATAACAGTAATTCGCCGTTTCCTATCAATACTTCTTCGACTACAACAGTGCCTGTCGTATCGATCATTCCACGAAATTTTACTAAAGACTCAGCAAATGTTTCACAATCAATAAGTGTGCCTGTGTTTTCTTCAAATTCGTTATCATCCCAACCAGCAAGACCTGCTATTAAAACTTATGAACAACGTGAACTTGAATATAGACTAGCAAGACTCAGGTAAAACACATCGTTTAGATCAAGTCAAACATTCAGTGGAAATTTTTAGAATAATGGGTGAAGAAGAAAGTTCAGTGAAAGATGATGAAGATAATCCTGTTGTTGAACTCACACCTGTTTCCACAGATGATACCAACAAACCTACTACATCGCCATTGTCTTCTACTTCGTCAACTACGAGAACAGCAAATAATATGAGCGGATTTTCTCAACAATCACTTCAATGTCATTCAACACCCGGTAGTTATGCTTCTAATTTATATGCACTGAATAATGTACCATCAAATACGGGAGCAATTCATTTTACGCCAAACAATAATTCGAATAATAGTACACCCAATCTTGGCACAGGACCTTATTCTTCGCCTAATTTTCCTCAACATTATCGTGGCGCTTATCCTACTCCATACTCTCATATGCCACCTCCACCCTTAATCCCACGCTATCCATTAGTAGCAGCAACAACAACTACTACACTTTACATGACATCCACAGCACCTTTTGTTAGTGCACCTTCGTCATCGTCATCGCCATCATCTGTATCTTCATCATATAATGTTGCACCTCAACAACATCCAAATATGGCAACTAATAATTGGTATCATTATCAACATTCACAAACGCCATACGGAATACAACAGTATGGACCTCCACAATAAATTATTTATAAAAAAATATATATTTATATATACTTACATATATGATTGTTTCTCTTTATCTCTTACTTAAAAAAAAATGATTCGTCGATCGATCGACATCAAATTCAAAAAAAAGAGACTAATCATTTTTATTAAATTTAAAAATAGTTAAGTCAAATTGCAGGGACGACATTGCTTTTTCAATCACCAACGAAAAGAGCCAAAAATTAATACCACAAAAACAACAAGTGTGAAACAAATATAGAAAAAATTATGATACTAGAAAAACATGCGCTATTCTTGTCTTAAGTGACCTTGTCAAACGATGTAAATATTGACAACATTTTGAATAGTTTCGTAAAGGACGGTAGATCAACGAGAACTATTTAAAGGACGATAGACCAACGAGAGCAATTTTTTCGTCAACATTTTTCTCAAAAAGAGAAACTAGAGTACGATGAAACAAAGACATAATTATGCAACTTGCTTTAATATTGGACGTTTTTGCTCGTCTATGTTGCTCACTAGGCTCTCTACGTTTTTTTGGTCTGCGCTTCACATGAAATTCATATTGAGACAAGGAGTTCCGAACGTTGATTACGAATATTATCTTATTTTTGTTGGCTAAACTATGTTAATGTATGTAAATCACAAAGTTTCAGGACATAATAGTGTAGGTGAATAAGCATACTACGCATTCTTGCTTTCTAAATAATATTATGTTGGACTGCGTTAGATTCCATTTTGAGCAGGTAATCAAGTATGCTTCATTTTTTTATCATTTAGAAGTGATGAAATTTCACGATGTGAAAAACTCATAAAACTAGGCAGTAATCGAAAATCCTTGTCAATGACGTGATTAATTCAAATTTGAAGCTATTTTACTTGGCTACTCTCTTCAAATGATACAGACATATTTTTTTCACATTCCCTGTCGAAGGTATATTTTTTTTTAAAGTCATTGTATTTTCGTGCAAAATTATTATTTAATAATGAAAAATGATACTGTTTAGGATATATATCACTAGTCTCGTATCAAGTACGTTGTCTTATCAGATTTTACGAATTAAGACAGCCAATGTATTCACTAGAGAGACGAAACTTAATTGCTTCAATTGAATATTGTTTTTTTGTCATCAATGGCGAACACTATGTCACAACAGGAATGACTAAAAATAAAAAACAAGAAAGAAGAGATATCATCATTTTGTTATGCGGTCAATATGTTACACATTTATTTTCTCTATAAACTTGATAATGATTTAGAAAAAAAGTTCACGCGATTTTCATCATTAGTTTCTTGAACTCTACATAATTACCTTTTTTCGGTCAAAACTCAAATAAAAATGCTTATTCAACTTTCCAGCGACTGGAGAAGTGTTTACCAGCACAAAAATTCGAACGACAATGAAAGGTCAATAATAATGCACAAATTATAGTCATTAGGTGACTTATAATGGTGATTTTTTCCAAATAATTTATAGATAAAAGTGTTCTTATCGATTTTTTTTCTTCTTTCCATATCGACATGCCTTTGGAGTAACGACTGTCATATCTCTAGACATTTACCATCAAACTATGTATTTATAGCACAAATACTGACGCAGAGAAACAAGTAAATATCAGGGATGACAAAGAATAGAGAGTATCTTACATATAAGTGAGGTGAAAAACCAGCCCAACTTTTCATGTCTATTATCATGTCTACCAAGGTCAACAATAGAATTTACAAAGGTTTTATTAGATAATTCTTTTCACATTTGTTTTATTCTGAGATAGTGGGAAAAAAAGTAATTTTTTATATTACATTTTGTTTTTGTATATAGACGTAGAGAAAAGACATGGTATACAAGCTTCTTCTCTCTATTGGTGTAAATTTAATCGAATGGTACAATACACATGCGAGCTCAGTGCGTATGTTCGAATCTACGTGGAGTGTCCACATTCAGCTCCACTCCTTCAAATACATGAAGGTAGTCGGCGTTCCCTATGTGTGGAAGATTGAAAAACAATTGTGCTCTCGCTATGCTGCAAGGTTTTCTCGTCACGAGACAACGATGATCTTTCGGAACGTAGAGTACAAACAAAAAGAATTCACTTTTATTTTTATTTTACTTTTATATTGCAATACCATTCGAATTCAATTTTTATATTAGTTAACAACCTTGAAGATTTCGAATTTTACTTTTATTTAGTCATCGCTAGTCATGCTAGTTACTGTCTTTGGTATTAACCAGTGCACTTGATGATATAGCTATTCTCGAAACATATTGCTGTGTTTTGTCGTTACAAAAAGAAATAATAATCAAGTTTGAATTCCCTGTCCATTCAAATCTGCCGCGATGTCTTGTATTTTGCGTGCTGTGACACTACGTTTAGCCCGTCAACAGGGCAATAACGATCGATGGTAGACAAAAAAAAAAAAGAAAAACGCAAAATATCATTCTATTCTATGGTGATATCAACGAGATTCTTGTAGACGTTATTGCGACAAAAACAGCTGAAGTTACTGTATCTCTTATCGCCTTTACTGTGCTAGAAATATTTATATACACATATCAGTATGATACATAATGACTATAGAAATGTGTCTCGCTCATATAATGTGATGAAAATCATTTAGATATCACCATAAATGATGTCTATCAATTTTCGTTACTCTTTCTTGTAGTATATAAATATTTTTATAATCTACATATGTCGTCAACTTACGGACTTTGATCCTGTTGGTAAAGTCATCGGAATCAAGCAGGTAACAGACATTTAATCGCTCGTGCACTTTTGATTGAATTTATTTACAACTCTGCTTATCGAATATGCACACTATCAGGCCGATTTAAAATGATAGTTACGCTACAAATTACAGTGAAGATAGTTCGTGCATATTGTTTTTCTATTATAAATGATCAGCTGTAAAATAAAAGGTACGATTAATTAGTGTGATCAGTTCTGTACAACATTTACGGGGGAAAAAGCTTAATTAACTACAAAACGAAGAAGAAAATACCACATCATAATGAAGCAAGGTAGGATATATATTTTAGGCTAGTAGTTCTCTTTTTTGCAACTTTATTTTCTTAATACAGCTAAACATTTTAGATAGTTTTTCAAAAATTAATTCATCTCGATCAGACTATTTCTTTTGTTAACTAAGTTACGCTTCATTTTCGTAGTGACAAAATGTTTTTGAGTTTTTGTTTTTAATTATTGATAAATCATATGAGAGGAGCTATTTTTGTCTTATCATTTTGGCCTAGTTTTTATAATCAACCAGTAGTAGAGTCATATGCAGAAAGAAAAAGCAATACGAATGCTTATCTTTTTGTGCTGAAAAGTTTGACTGGTTTCACCTGTCTTAACAACACGTTTCATGTATAGGATGGAATCATTTGCTTTTCGCAATTTATTTTATTTGATTCAAATTACTAATGTTAAACTTTTTATGAGATCAATCATTTTCCATAAGTAAATTGGCATTGTATTATTATAAATGTACATCTATATGTTAAAACTCGATATAATCTACAATAAAATATGAGTTACCTTTAAGAACAAACAATTATAAAAAAAGCACACTTAAGGTATAATTTATAAGTTTGTCGATACTGACCTGTAGCAATAATGCTTTCATACAAAAACAAAATACTAGCTTTAATCGAGGTAAAAAAAAACAAAAAGACAATATTCATGTATATGTAAGAGGCAATTAAAGACATGAATTGATTTTTTATGAATGCACCTGAACACCCTTTTTTCCGGTAGTCTCATATGTGTTGGTATATGGTTGGTTAAATGATTCATACGGTTAACACCATTAATCATAATATTTTTACGATTTATTTTTGATACTTCGTCTTTGATAAATCAACCAATGGACTACTCGATAATGTTGTTTTGTTGTTTATTTTTTTTTCCTTTCAACTCCAAAATATTCAAATTAGATTTGTCTTCATTTGCAATTTTATTTATACATTACGTAAGATCAAATATGTTTCTGTCAAGTTAACTTGCAAATATCAATTATAATTTTCATTGCTTTTCGTATGTTTGAATATTCTAATATATATATATATGAATATTGTGTCACCTTCTAAGATACGATCATCTATATCAATTGATTATATCTTCTTATAAATGTTATGGAAGTGGAGTTCATATATGTTCAGAAATAGTAGCCAGAAATTTCGAATGACGAAAAGAACCATCTAACCTTTCTATCATAGTCACGTGGCATACTCTAGAACATTCTATTTATAAGGTATATAAAGGAAACTGACACAATGAGCAGCCATTCCACAAATAGCAATATTTATGAACGTATGTAGTTTTAACATATCTTGAAGATCATTTTGAATATTGTATATCTTTAGCATGAGAATTACTAATGAAAATAGAAATAGAATTGAAAAAATAAAATGACATGATAAGCGATTAAAAGTAACGTATTTTTATACTGATTTTTCTAAGATATTCTTTGAATTGAAAATAATAGTGTTCTACTGTATGTGACTTTGGTGATAAGTCGTCATCAAATTAAACCAAAGTATTCGATGCATCATTACCTTGAGAGTATTTTTTTCTAGAAGAAGAAACGAAACGTTATGAGTATAACTCGTCATAAAAATATATTGTCTTATCTATTGACATATTCTATTCTATGAGAGAGATAACCTTAAAGAAATATAAGACGCATGAAGAAGGCAAAGTACAGGTAGTTAATGTTCAGATTGTTTTTTTCCCGCAACTCGTTGAGAACTAGGGATAATTTTCATATGTTCTTTAATAAGTGTTATGACGTGTGTGTTTTTCTTTCTTTTATCCATTCATTTTTCTTCCGTTAAATTGTTTGACGCAATGTTTATTTCTTTCATCATACTCATACTTATACTTGCATTCATCAATGAAACGTATATACTTCGCCTCAATTACACACCAAACATACATTTGATGCGCTAAGGACAAGTAGGACGAAGTCGCATAGGTATCTAATATTATATATTTGTCTGACGTAACTATGGTTGGCGAATAGAGTCCACCAGTAAATAATAAGGACTGCTAAATGAGTCATAGATATTTATAGTTTCGTAGGACTTTCTCAACGAGCGTAAGGAATATTATATTATCTAATGCGCAACATTATTGCTTACGATCCTATTCGATGCATTTATCTAAGGTCAATGGATACGTTAACTAGCTTCTACTGGATGTCGTTATAAGACATGTAAAATTCTTCTCTTTCTCACTTTTACCCAAACAACGAGCAGACCTATTTACAATTTTTGTTTATTGATAGTAGCATTTGCATTTCTATCTTCTAGATTGTGATATACCGAAAATAAAACAATACTCGTTATTAACTATTGCAATGTCTCGTAAACCAATACTAACGAATGATAACGACAATATTGATGCTCCCTATTTATCTAGCAGCCACAAAGTAATGCAATATTTACGAAGTTCACCACGTTCTGCAGTCAATACTAGGACTACTAATACTACTAATTTTAATTCTGCTAATGGTCAAAATGAAATATTTTCCTCTACGGATAATCCAGTTAACGGCATAGATGCATCTATAAATAATCAATTTTTCCAACATGCGCGTTCGTGTTCTGACAATTGTTCATCAGCATCTGAAATTGATCCATTATCACAAGTTCATTTCGACTTCAGTCCTAGTCTATCCGATCCTGGTGGATATCGCAGTGTACTTAGTTCAAATGCGTCTTCGTCCGGTGTATTTAGTGCCTTTTCTGATGTTTGTCAAGAAGAAAATACATTTAGTTCTCAGGAAGACTTGGAGTTTAACCTTGGGTTTGATCAGAGTGGCATTAGTGATGGAATTGAAGTAGCCGATCGTGACGATCTCGATGAAAATCAAGCAATTTCAAATAGGACTAGTGGTAAAATATCGAATAAACGATAATACAAATCGATTCTTTATTGTTTTGCTTTATTTTAGATACGATCACATTACTAGATTTTGATGAATCAAATTTAAATGCACGCATCCATGAGTTAGAAGGACTCCTTCGTAAATCTAATAGTTCAACATCCATTAATAGTAATGGTGAAATTAATAGCGATGATATAATAATAGATAGTCAAACTAAAAAACAACAGCAAAAGAACAGTGCACCGTTCCTACATGATTCAACGTATACGTTATGTTCACCTGATCGTTTTGCTGCTTACGCCGAAGATGATAATGATAATAGTAGTGATATCACTCCAAAGATTATTAGTAACCGTTCTAATTCATTAAGTATTCCTGTATTAAATAAGAAATCAGTGTTATTGGATAATCCACCAAAAAAAGTTGTTCACTTTGCCGATATGCTGGTAAGTTTTGCTTCAAATAGTATAGAAAGACCTTACAAAAGCAAAGTGTCTCATAATTTAATGTTGATCTGTTTAAAGTCAGAGCTAAGTTTAGAAGAGAACTGAGTAAAGTCAAAGAAAATGTACCAAAATTTTTAAATGGCAATCATATCATGATCCTACTCTCTTTTAAGGACTACAGAGTTAGATATTTTTTTCATACGCTTACCTCATAAATTTCTAAATAAAATCAAACTGAAATCGTTTTGATGCAAGTATGTCTTGACTATTTATCCGTAAAACACGGGATTCTGCACGATGAGTAGCGTGGTGTGACACAACTCTCAAATATTTTTAAGTATATACTAAATGAAAGAGTATGTTGTTATGACAATTATCACATAGAGCATTTGATTTTGGCCATTGATAAGAAATCGAAGATGACTCATCGGCTTATTTTTCATAACTATTTGCATAGTGAAAAATAGACATCAACAGGAATACTTCTCACCGAAAAATAGTTTAGATACGAAATATTTTGACCAACAGTATATTTCTTCAGTTTGAAGAAGTCAAATAGAAACTTGTTACATTCGTTTTTTTTTAAATTAGAAATATATCGTTTGAAATGTGGTGAACGACACATGTGTGAAAATAGCAGTTCGATAAAATCAGCTCAGCTTTCTTTGGAAATTACGTAATTGTTTTTTTTTTCTTGAGAAACGAGGCCATTTTTCGATAAGATTCATGCATAATTTCAATCATTTGCATAAAATGCAATGTTTTCGAAAAAAAATTTTACGACTCAAAAGAAAAATTAGTATGAAAAATCTTTTTTAATTAATATATACCTCGGAAAAGATGTTTTGAAACAAGAAGCGTCAAACAGGAACTATAAATTAAAATGACAAAGTCTTATGAATGTGTTATTTTTTATTTTTTATTTTCGATTTCTGTCATTGTGACTTTTTTGAACTAAATGTGCATCTTTTACTGATACCTCCTTTTAATCCATATCTTTCTAATTAGAATAAAACTAAACGAATCTATTGAGTATCAATATGTTATGGGGGAAAATATGTCAAATTACAGTTTTCACAATTCAAAATATTTAGAAATAAAACCTTTCTTTAAAATTATGTCAAGATCTATGTCAAAATGTCGTATCTTCTCATTTGCGAACATAAAATCGAAAATTAAAATATTTTAAATTAAATTCAAATCTTTTTCTTAGTTTGAAACTTCAATTCGAAAAATATTTCAAGCTTCAAATTTTCGTCTTTCATTTATTAAACACTAATTGAGAACAATTTTAATAAAATTGATATCTTCAGTTTTGCTAGTAACTATCTGCAATTTGTAGAGTTCGCTAAATATTGAATTTCATTATTTGTATTGAATAAGTTGTAATATATAGAGCGCGCTAAACTATTGTGTTCGTTTTTAAAATGTAATTTATGAGATTCAGTAGAGAAAAATGCTGCGATCAATATCATGATCTATTTCTCTGAGGTTCATCATACAACCTATAAGGTATAGTCAAGATCTATTTACACTTTCATTCGAATGTTTTTTTATATCAACCGTTCTTTTGTCATTTTGACGATCTTTGCTCGTTTATTATGACTAAAAATTCATCAAGAAAGAAACAACAGAAATAGAAATAGATAGTACTCATCTTACCTTTGACGCATCTTCCTTTATTTCTATCCATTTCTTTTGCCCTTGCTCGTATTTTCTCACTAATATTTCATGAGTAAGAATTGAAAAAGCACGGCTCAATATGCATTTCTACTTTGATTTGAAAAATTATCATCTAAGCCAAATTGAACTCTATACCATATGTATTATGATCATTAGTTGGTCCAAAAAGTAAAAACAAGATAGAAATAAACTATATAATACTCATTTTAACTTTGGCTCTGCTTCTGTTTACGTAGATCCATTCTTTTTTGCTCTTGCTCGTCTTTGTAATATTATATATTCATTATTCATGAGAGAATTAGATTATTATTGATCTTCATATCCACATATTTCTAGAAATCAACTGAACTATGTGTTGATAATAAAAATTCGTCATTAACAAGCTATTTGTTTCTACGTATTCAATCGAATCTTTTAAAGCAATGAACTCTATATTAAAAAGAATCGCGTCACTAAGAAAATTAACTAATTTTCTTTACAAGAACTCTCTCTTCAGTTCTAAAAAAAAACCGTCTTCTACAAATTTCAGTAATTATTTAAACTTGAGAAATTGTTTATCATAAAAGAACTCACGTCCTCTAGAAATAGCAGCAATTATTTAAACTTGAGAAATTTTTTATTATAAAAGATTAATATCCTCTACAAATAGCAGCAATTATTTAAAGTTAAAGAACTTTTATCATAAAAAACGTACGTCCTCTACAAATTGCAGTAAACTTAGTTAAGTCAAGATAACTTTTTAAAATCTTTTTTTGAAATAAACTAATGCTGGCCAATTTTAAATCAAACGAAATTTTTCTTTCGAACTAAATTTTAAATTTCAATCGTTTTGAAAAAAGTCGAAATAATAAAATTTAAAATTAAATGAAATTTTAATGGTAAATTTAGTTAAATCTATATTCTTTATGTTCGCAAATAAGAAGTAACCAAAACGAACATACTCGTCATTCGCAGTTATCAACCGAGCATCTTTTTTCATATTATTTCTGTTCAGTTCTGAACGCTCTCTTCAAATCTATTCTAAGATTTTGTTAACGGCGGAGCTAGGATTTTGCACTGGGATGGGTTTATGGGCGGCTAAAAATGACCGGAGGGAACTTAATCCCCCTCAGTCACTCCATGGATCCGCCACTAGATTTTGTCTAATACAAACTGCCAGTCTGAAATTGAGTTAGATTTCATAGCATTTGACCCAATAAAATTTGAAAATTCTAATTTTATGTAAAATTCACGTAAAATCCGAAGCATTTTTAAAAATCTTTCATAAATTACGACTATGGTTTCAGAGAAGGTGAAAAACCTGCTCTTGACTGTTCTATAGAATCAGCGGACAACTGTGTTCTTCACCAGGAAAAAATGTCATCTATCAGACCATGTACTAGGAATTGGTGCATCTCTTTATATCATGTTGAGATGAAAAATGAATAAAAACATCGAAATTCATTAGAAAATGAAAATAAAAATAAAAATTGTCGATATCCATGATAGGGGACAGCGGCGGCTCAGTCACACGGCTGATACTTCTGATTGAATTTCTCAATAAGATAAAGTTCATATAGAATCAAGTTAAATGACAGTACATGATTGAAGTAAAATTATCTAGTATAAAAAATAGGATCATCAATATCGTATATCCCAGCTCAACAAGTGCGATCTGGCTACGACTGGGAATTTCTTGGCTTTTTTCTAGTGCTTTCCTCTCAGATTCGTTGATTTTTCTTCTGGATTCCACCGAAATTCAAGTGTTTCCAGAGCTCGAAACTATCCACTTGGCTGTATACAATAAATTGTGATTTTCTTCTCGATTACGTTAGGATCTTTTGAAACGATTTTTTTCCAGTGAATATCTTTGGTGCTGAAATAAAAATGAGGAGATTTATCAGAAGTTCTCTTATTAACATACAAAAACTGTGCTATTAAAAGAGCGACGTTTTATATTTACAACTTATCTAATATATACTGAAGCTTACATATCATCTAAAACATTTCACTCTGAGTATAGAAATTAAAATAAATATCATTATATAAACGATTGCATTTGTTTTATATACAAATAAATGAACGATAATCTTATCATCTTGAAATATATAGTAACAAAAAAAAACTGCTTGATACAATTAACAACTTTGTTTTCATGAGTGAGGCCACTTTACAGTATAACAATATACCTATAATCCAGTTCATCGCATGACATAAAGATATTCTTCGTCGTATTAAGTAGATTATTTGTACAAAAGAGATATCTTCTTCCTATTCAGAAGTTGAAAGCTCTTTTTTCTGTAGATTTTCGGCAAGCAATCATCTGCAAGAGAAAAACTTTCCATAGAATATCATAGATAATACATCGGAGCTTCGTATAATCTACTATCAACTAAAACAATCAGATTTAAATAGCATGTTCTTGTCTCTCATAAATATTTCAATAGAATCTGCTCATATCTTACGATTATTTTTCCAAGTCAAGATAACTTTTTGTCCTCAAGAAACATGACTGAAAAAAATCATTCTATTCTACTTTCATCCTATGAATATTAATGGTGAGTGGTTTTTAAATAGAATCTTTTCTTTCAATAATAATTTATTTACAATATCTAAAAAGTACCGATCAATTATGAATCGTGCACTGTCTCTAATTTTGCTACTCATAAATTTATGAATGAGACATTGTTTCATTACTTCTCTTATAATCATGTTATAGGGAATAGTCACCCAGTGACTATAACAATAATGGGGTTTCACTGTACGGACGAAATTTGGCAACATTAAGTTTATTAAACATATTCTTGGTAGCTGAGATTCAGAGCACAAACGCGAGACAACATTTCTACAATATTGATTCTATGTAAAGTTTTGATACTTTTCATTCACTCTCATCAAGTATGTTGAAAATTACCAGCAATAGAAACTTCAAACATTCTACAACCGGATAAACTCTATTGACATTTACAAAGAATAACATGGTAAAAGCTCGATTAAGTACTTGAATTTGTTTTTGAATAATAGTATCATTAGTACATGATGATACAATGTATCGAATCACAGAAAAAAAATAAGAAATCGGATAACAGTGAGACAAACATTGAGAATTTTGATTAAAACCATTGCAGTTAACTTTTGTTCTAAATGTATATGTGCAATTGGTATATTTTTCTTAGCCACGTGACGAACATTACGAAAAGTTAATAAACCAAATAGACTCATAATAGTGACAGGCAAAAAACCATTCATAATAGGAACTCCAGCATATACTGTATATTTCGAAAATAGTTCATTATTCTCATTTGGCACACATGCTGTTCCATTGGTTCCAGAAAGTGGTAGTGCATCGTAATCGTAATAGATAAGAAATGGAATACCGTATAAAATAGAAATAACAATAGCCACAGTGATTAGACGCTGCATCAATTCGATACTGAAGCGTTGCCGAGATGTATGTAGTAATGTTGACATCAACTGATCAATAGCTGCAAAACAGATAATAATATGGGACATCAAACCAAAAGCTTGTGGAAAAGCGACCGGTATTTTACATGGAAACATTTTATTAGGATCTCCATGATCTTTAAAGATATTGACGAAAACGCTGGGTAGAGTATTATAGATAATAATAAACCACTATCAGATACCGACAATATAAGTAAACAAAAGTCACATGGTTTTTTACGAAAAGTTTTCAGGCTGAGAAAAATTAGAGTATTCAAAATGTTGCCAAAAAATCGCAAGATAAAAACAAGTGAGCCAACAGATAGATTGAAGTATCAAATTACTCAATCCATTTAAGTAGCGAAGCCGTCGGTAGATAATATATTTCTACAATGAAAATGAAATAGTTTTCTCCAGTGTATATTGATTGCAATATGTACTAGGAATTTATTGGAAACGTTTAGTAAACAATATTATTCTTAAATAAAGCTTTTTCAGTTAAGTATTCATCAAAGAAGAGTAATAAACAGCTCAATTGAAAATTTGAAGGCCTCCATGAATCTTTATTCTTTATGTTCTTTTTTTTCGTTAGAGTATTTGATGTTGCAAAGTATGACTGAATTCCTGTAGTTCAGTGGCTTAATTACAATATTCAGAAGACGAGCGCATCAGATGTCTAGAACAATTCTCAGAAAATGACGCGCCCACTAAAAAATTGTTCATTTATTTAGTACAAACAGGGGTTAATTAAAAGTGCTAACTTCTTCATGTCTGACTTATTGACAGGTTTCACAGTAGAACACAAAGGAAGCGACTGTTATAAATCTTCTTATACATACATCTAGTCATCGTAATCGGATAAAGTTTGCGTCTTAGTTCTGTTTGAAAACAGCGTTTTTCACAGAAGATCTGATCGATACAAGTCTTCAAAATTTTACGGAAAAGAATATATTTTAAGTAGAAGACCAAGTCATAACTGAAATGATAAGCTTCGCTTTATCTTTTCGAGCTTTTCTCTGAATTTCATTAGTTCTCATAACTATTGACATATACTTTTGAAAAATCTTAAACGCTGAAGATCGAAAAGAGAACAGACTTATCTATCTAATATTGTCTCTGATGAAAATACGACTTAATATCATACGAAGCTGGCAAGAAGAGAAAAAAGTATTTCTTTTCATACACAAAAATGGACAAACACCAGTATGTAGTTAAGTTGATGATAATCTAAGATCAAAAATAAAAATTTTTGGGTTGCATAAGAGAAGTTACATGTGTGCATCTGATGTTATACTTCATACTTAGATCGGAATGAAATATTATAAAAAATAAACCTGAATTTCAAGTACTCTAATTTGTGAAAGTCCATATTTCGTAACTTTTGAGCATTGACCCAAATAAAATACTAGAGTGCACAATCAAATATTTGCAGCAGCGTTCAAAGGTTCGAAATTTTTTTAAAGCTGCCTCCTGAATACTCAAATTAAATGAACTACTGCAAGATAAAAATCATACGAGTAAAACAGTGCAAAAATTATAAATACTTTCATTAACCCTTTCCGACCGAATGTTGCCAGATGCCAAAATTTAACCCTATGATGGCACGACGTTTTCCAAATAGCCGACCGTAAATAGCTAAACAACACTAACAAACTCTTATATGATATCAAAAAAATGTATTCAACAAACACTCAAACTTTCTAAGCTGTTCATATGATCTAAAAGTGCAGAAGTAAAACAGCATACAAGAATTTTTTGAAAACAATGCGAAGAAACGATCTTTAAACTATTGGCAATTTTATAAATTGGTGATGCGTTTTACTAATAAGTAGAAAATTACTAGATGTTTTCAACATACGTTTTATAATGTAGTTTCATAGAAAAACCAAGAGCTTGAATAGTAAAACATTAAGAATTTTTGAACCTGATAAGAAATGTGTTTGCTATTGACAAAATAAGACTCCGCTTATGTCAATCAATTCAATTTTTTCATAAATTTTCCTTTCAATCTCTACATTTACTGTGGGTGCACAGGCTCATATGTTATGTCAAGATCACTCTAAATAAAGAAATTCATTTCTTTAGATTTTATTACATATTTCCCTAGAAAATGAGTTCTATATTATTGAATTACAATAAAATACGAGCTCAGCTATTGTTGTTGTTGTTGTTGAGCATATATACGACAAAAACGAAGAAATATACCAGATAAAAACAATGACTAGGGATCTTCTAAAATAGATCTTCAATAAATCATGTGAATCCATCCCAGATGAGATTGGCTAAGATGACAGTTACATGGAAATACTAAGATGCAACTAACGAAGTCGTAGACAAATCAAAATAGAGTAATGATACTTTTTCAGACGTGAATTATATTTGTAACGTAATATTTAATCATTTATTTTATTATACACTCAGTTGTGAGTGAAGCCATACAGAAATTCTTACCCGATGGAAATCATCTGTCACGTATCACGAATTGCGTAATAGAAATAGGAGTGGTCTAGGTCAATAATGTATTTTATTGCCTTGAGAAACAGAAACAGAAAAACTAGATGAAAGAAACGAATACAAATACTAATCCAGTTTCCTTTAGAAGAGAATGTATATATATATGATGACTCATTCGAAATGAATTTAAAGAACAGAATACATATGACTTCTGCTGTTTTGATACTTTTGTTTTTATTTAATAAAATGATTAATTGCATGTAAGATATTTCGGTAATTAAAGCAGAATCTATAATCGTTTAAATTTTATATTACTATTGTAAAACGAGAGATTCATATGAAATAATTTGATTTTAAATTTAAAGTTTCGTAACGTTCCTTTCATGAAGTTTCTAATAGATCTTTGCTTGATTTCAATAGGGCTTAATATGGATAAAAAATCAATATCGGATTAGATCGAGTTTATTCCATAAATTATTTAAAGATTATTTGTACAAACAATCAGTCTATCATCTATACTGGATTCTTGCTTTTAGAAAATTATCGATCATGTCGGATGCATAATTCAAGAAGACAAACAGTTTTTAGTATATAACTTCGTTTTTTCAAGGATAAATTTCCCATAAAAGTCATAGCAGTAATATGAATATTTTCCCTTAATATGAACATGATCTTAAAGTTATCAAATTTATCAGATTTCATTACCGACTTGAATTTATGTATCCTGAAACAGCAGCATAAGTAAAAATTGTGTTTTCTTTAATGATGCTGTCCAACTTTGATTAATTCAAATAAAAGAGCTTCAGTGAATATTTAATCTAACATTATCCATTCAAATAATAAGAAAGTTCATTCAGCACAAAGAAAAGAAAAAAAACTCTAAACTACAATCTGTATTTTTATGGTATGATAAATATCTAATTAGATTGCCACTTGATCAAAATTTCGAGTTGTAAAGTGTTGACGTAAACAGCAAGGATTTCGATAGAGAATGCCAGTATGAGCCAGGCGACACTGGTCCTTTTTGGTGTCATGCGTTTGTATTTATTTCTATTATCTCAAGTCGCATTTATTTTCTCAATGAACCTCAGCTGAGTGTGAAAAAGCTGCGTATACATTACGCATGAATGAAAATAATTTTTAAAAAAGCGTGAAATAAGTTCTATTAAACAGAACTTGAATGAAATTAATATTGATCGATTTCAGCACATAGATTTAAAATTCAATGTACGATAGAATTCAATAAAACGAAACAATTACCATTAATAAAGATTTCATGATGTTAACTTGCCAATGATTAAGTAAAACTTTCCCGTAATTTTAACATCAAACTTTCACTAGAAATTTTACGTTTCAATATAGTAACTGTATCTAGCGGTTGTTGAGATTTATATTATTTATTAATTGTTTCTATTCAAGGTAGAAGTTAATTATCATTTAAGAGAGTTATTGGGAATATTTAATAAAAATTAGATTTATGCTAATAATGACGCCTTTTCACAATAATAACAGAATACATAAGCATGAATGCATAACTATTAATAAATTTAAAAGAAGTACAAACGAATTTAATTAAAATAAAAGAACTAAAATAGAATAAAGGATTTATTATATGTGAGGAGAAAAAAATAAGTAGTATTATGAAACTTACTTAGTTTATATACGATAAAATATCAATCTTTTATTAATATAAAGTTATCAATAATTAGACAACATTGAATTAAATATATTTGACTCTTTCAACAATATATCAAAAAAATTAGAATCAATAAGAAAAATTAATTGAAAGAATCTGAATGGATAGTCATGTTAAAAATTATATTGTCTGTTTTTGTTCAACTACAATCACTAGAATGAATTTTCAAAATGATCCATTTGTTCATCTTATTTATAGTCTTCAAGGGTTCGAGTAAGAACGAAAATAAAATAAAATGCTGTTGTCGTTTTTTCTGCCATCAATGTACACTTGGAAAATCTGAACTCAAATCGTTTAAGTTTTCTGTATAAAATCAAAAACAAGATCTATGTATTATTGACTATGTTACTTTAGTAAATGAACATAATATCATAACAGTACACTTTTTATTTGTTTCGTTAATCCTTCTGTTGTTGTTTTTTCTCGAGGTTATAATGGAGATTAAAATAGCTAAGTAGCTGTTTACTGATTAGAAAGTGAAAGAAAAATAAGCCGTTCAACTTTCAATTACTGAGAAATGTGCATCATATAACAAAAATCTTTAGAAAATGTAATTTGAAGTCTTCGTGATGTAATACCATTATTGAGCATAGACTGCATAGTATTCTTTCATGAAATTATTTCAAACAAAGTTTGCTGAATATTCACTGGAGGAACATTGTCTTTTTGTTTTAGTGAAGATACTTCAATTGATTGGAAGAAGCAATATCAAAAGATGTGTTGATGCACAATTCAGATGAGAAAGGCGATATAATATTCGAAAGTAACCTTTTCTAAATGTTACTATTCTAACGCTCTTTATTCGACTTTTTTTTATGAACCCAGGAGAGTCATTCCGAGACTAGGATCCTATCGGATTCCGACAAGGGTCAGACCGTGAATATACCAAATATCCATGGATCCCAATAAAACCAACGAAATTCTATAGGATTCCTGGATCAGGACCTACAGTCGGATCCTTGGTGTAGGAATTTCATAGGATCTAGTGTTGGAAATTAACGGAATCCGACATGAACGTATGGCCCTGTTCTTATGAGAAAATATGCATATTCACCCCTAATTAAGAAAATGTTGTTTTTTTCGTCAAAACCGACAGTCAATCCGTAACCCGGAATCCCATCGGATTCTGTTGGGTGATAGGATTCACTCACCTGTTTTAATTTAGCATGATATCCATCCAGTTAAAACGACATTGTAAGCAGACAAGATAATAGACCAGAATTTTATATCCTTTCATTCCGGTGAGGGCTAAATACAAAACGGTATTACTTAGCTAGCGGTGAACCTTTGATTCTAGTTCAATTGAAATCTATGACGGTAGTTCAATTAGCTATATATTTTGACAGAAAGATGGTATATCTACTGTAAAAGCTCCAACCGCTCATGCTCATGTAAAGTTAAAACGATTTGAAACGGCTGAAAAAGCTAGTAGCACATGAAAAAATTGTGTGATTTTCGTGTCATTTCATGGCAAAAGTCCGATAATTCAAGACTGAAAATTTTCAGTTGGCCAATATACATGTAACAAGCTTTCAGTAACATGTATTGCTTTTCGTGATTTTTGTTTTTTAAAGAGCAATCGACTTTCAGGAAAATTGCTAGTGGTTCGATTTTGATAGAATCTTTAAGAGATTCTCTTGTTGGCTTAAGAAACATTCGTATTTCTAATTTAAAATCGTTACATTTTGTATAGTTCTTATATATTTCGGAAACAACAACTTGGAGAGAACAACACTTCGTATTGTTGTTTACAAGTTTCAACCATTTTCTTTCATAGATGTCATAATACCCATCGAATTCTTTTTGAGGTTTTACCCTTAGTTATTGTATTCACTTCGATACCCAAACATATAACTATATGTTAAAAGTTGAGGACTGGGAGTCGTTTTGTGGTATTACGAAGGGGCAAAAACACGACTTCTATACTTCAAAAAAGTGTGAACTACGATGGAAGTACAAAGGAAATACGTGAAGTACGGAAGTCGCACTTTTTCCTCCTAGAGCATTACCTTCAACTGTAACGGTTTTGATATATTTTAATTTATATGGTAAAGACAAGGATTTGATGAGTTTTAGTGAAAGTCAATTGAAAAAAATGGAACCGTTGATCTTTTATTGAATTTTTGAGAAAGTTGATTTTCGGGATCCCACCTCTCGAGAACAGTTCAGCCGATGAAACTGAATTTTTTTGTAGATTCTTACACACTAAACTTTTACCATGTAAATTTTCTAATCGCCAATTATTCAAACATTTTCTATGAACATACGCCGAACTACCACTACATAAACATGGACTAATTATATCATCGAAGTTGTCATTGTCGAAACATATTCGGCATTGTTTCAACTGATCGTTGTCTGGAATAGACATAGCTGAACTTTACTGAAATTCTAAACTAGAAAGAGAAATTGTGGAAGCATGATATTAGATTCATTATTTGTGAATAAAGGTGTTGGTATTTGGACTACCCAGGTCTAACAGTACGGTCCGTATACTGTCGTTTACGGTTACTTTACGACTATTTTACGGGCGAACGTTTGCCGTAACATCTGACGCAGTAATACGGACCGTATTATCATGAGAGTACTGAGAACAAACAGCCGTAAACCATGAGAATTCAGTCCCGTTTAAGGTGCCGTATTACTGTGCCAGGTATTACGGGCAAATACGGCCTATTTACTGCCGTAACTATGCCCTTTTGGCATCGTTTACCGTCGATAAAAAGACAATAAACGAGTCCGTTTTAATCAACCTGGGTATGCTGGTTAAATGGCGTACCGAACGATGAAAAAGAAAATTGACCAAGACCTATTACTTAAAATCCCGTTCTTTCACCCTACCATCTATTGAAATCATATAGCTATATCAATAAGATCGCACTACATTCTTAGCATGCCCAGTACTTCCAAGAAAAAAATAAGTAAAAACCTTGAGGATAATTACACTGGTTTTTATTCGTAATTTTCTCTGAAATAGTATTCTGTTTCAAAGCAGATCACATAAGTTATGCATTTAAATTTTATAAATATGAATTTAAATCAACTAACAACATCAGAGAAAAGAAGTGCACTGAAAATCCATCGAAATTACTGCATAAAAATTAATAAAATGTATGAATAAATAAGATGATTAGTTGAATATCAGTGAACATTTGGGACTAAATTAAAATACGAAATAATTTTCTTGTCTATCTTCATTTGATGCTAATCAACAACAACAACAGATGTATTCATATGCGATAATCATGTCATCGGTTCGGCACTTAGAAGAATAGTGTAAACAGTATAGTCTACCAATCGATTCCTTTATTCGATCAATTTCTAGTAATTACAAGATGAAGTCTTCGTATTTTGAGAATAATATTATCCACATCAACATTAAATTTTATGAAATAATGAGATTTGATTACATTGCCCTATGATAATTAATCAGAACTTCTCTTCACGGTGATAATTCTTCCAAGTTACTATTAACAAATATAGTGTCTACCTTACTATATAAATGAGTGAAACGATAATATTATTTTATTCGGAAAGAATCAGCTTTTATACAATATGATTCTTCATCTTTCTATGTATGATCTGATCGCTCTCAATCAGAATGAATTTCAAAGAGAAAAATCACAAAGGAAGAGTTTCTTGTTTTCTTCATAAAAAAAAATTCATGCTTTCAACTTCGACAAACTGTAGTGACAACTTCCAACAAGACTGCTAATTAAACAGCTTCACATGTTAAAAATGTTTCTACCGTGTTTAGGTTAGCTCTGCTAGTTGTTTAAAATGGAAACGTTTGGGGAGAAAAAAGAATGCATCCTACCTATAACTAAAGGTTCAAATTCATACGAATCAAGCATAGTGCAGAATCTACTTTTATCGAATATTTATTTCCAAGAAAAACTTGTCATTGATAAAAACCATGTTATCAATTGTGTTCTCTCCACCTGGGTTATTTCTTTTACTGTTTTCGTCAAGATTTTTTTCCCTTTAAACGAGAAAAATGATAAGAGACTTATGATTCATAAAAGGTAACCATTGGACAATAGTTAAAGAATAAAAAAAATACAAGAATCAATCATCATAATTCAAACTTTGTCTCTCGATGAACGACTCGACAGGCGGATGTGAATGTCCAACTGTCCTCCCTGCCGTATATGTGGAGGCGATAATGACTGTTATCATGTTTGTAACAAAAGAAATTTGTTCTTCTCTGCTTTTCTAACACTCAGCTTCATTTCTTTCAGATCATTCACACCCTTCTATCTGTTTTATAGATGGAACCAATAGACCGGTCGGCTTGCACTCTGAACGATCATGACAACGCCAAAGTGTGAGAGTTTCGATACTTTCCCATGATGTTAGTGCTGCAAGTCAAGTGCTTTCATGAAAACCCTACAAATTTCAGGATTTACAACTATAAGTTTGTCAGATTCTTGGTCAGAAAGCATCTTTATGTTTTCCATGCTCGTTAATGATGAAAACCAAATGTTAAATAAATTATGTTCATCGCCTCAAGAATATGAGAGTTTACGTAACATTTTTGGCAAATTTTGCCTTTCTGATATATAATATAGGGCGTGGGTATTGGCTTTGCTCAGAACGAAATCCCCCACACGCTAATCTTTCATTAGGGTTGTGGATCAAAATGCGATGGAACCGTACTAATCGATATAAACTCATCCTAACCGTAGAACAGTTGCCGAAGTCAACTATTGTTCGAATGGAATACAAAAAAGTTCACTTAAAACGCACATAATTATTATCATGATAACTCGTTGAGGAAAATAAAAACGAAACTTGCTTCAAGAAGAACATATAAAGATTAATTATAAAAAGGATAAAACATAATTTAATAATATACATATATTGATTTAGCGTTTGCTCTTTAATAATAAAACTTTTTTCATTGACACTACTTCCCACGATAATGGCACCATCCTTGTTCGCATGATTCACATCGATTGACAAGATGATGTCGATCACTTTTTTTTCCTTGGTAACCCAAGCGACGAAAAGGATAGCCATAAAACATGTGAGCAATCCAGCGATGCAACCAATTTACAAAATTTTGACATTTTTGATCATCAAGCTCACCTGTGACGTATTCATCGCAATTTAAACATTGCTGAGCAAAGATTTTCACTTGAATCCATCCACCAATCCAAGCTTGTCCATTTTCATCTGTATCTGGTCCATAGTAAGCTCTACACAGAATAGTCGTGTAAGCTGAAGACCACGTTGCATCATTATTTGCGGTACCATTTTTAAGACATTTTAAGCAACGGAATCTTAGAAATAAGTAAAAGGATTATTTCAATTTATTCTATCAAGCAATTTACTTTCCCTTTGTATTGTAACTACCATAAAGCCATCCGCCGAACATCTGATTCTTATCTAATTTTAGACGCTTGGTGTTAACACTTTTTGGCATTCGCTCTAAGGTCCAGTCAGGAAAAGCGGATCGATTTCGCCAAATTGTTTATAAAATAATGGTTCGATGATTGTGAAATTGTTTGGACACTCCTGAGGAGCTGGCTTTTTCTTTGCGATAACAACTGCATTGGATTTTGCCATCGACGAGAATCTACTACAATAAGAATAATCCCAACCAGTATATTTAATCTTAATCTAAAACAAAACATTTTTACACTCTTTATTGATAGGATCAAGGTACACATGTTATTCTTTCTTTCATAAACGTAAAGCAACAAATCATAATAAAACAGGATTTTATGTACACTCTAAAAATATTGGGTATTTGTTACTATCGGAAACTCTTTTGGATTTCCGAACAGCTCAGAAACCTAGAAAACGGTTTTTAAATTGCTCGGAAACCCTAAAAGAGTTTCCGATAGTAACAAGTACTAGGGGTGGGCCATTAACATTAATTTTATATTAATGTTAATGTTTCTCATTAACCATTAATATTAATGCTTAATGTTTTCTAAGAAAAACTTAATTCATTAA